GCTCACCTACAGTTCACTCTCCGTTCGCGATGGATCCGCGCAGTGCGGCCCCACAGCACCCCCCGCGCTGCCGTTTGCACCCCTATGGCAGAGCAGCACCCAGAAATCCTCCGGGACACAAACCCTGGCTGGAATCGCTTCCAAGAAGGGAAGTTTTTAAAGGATCCTTTTTAAAGGGGCTCGGAGCGGCTCCCCGGCACCACCGTGTGGGGACACGGGGAATTGCAGCCGCGGGCACGGCCAGGGCTGAGCCCCGGGGAGGCGCTGACCGCTGACCCTGTGACCACTGACCGCTGACCCTGTGACCACTGACCCTGTGACCACTGACCTTGTGACCACCGACTCCGTGACCACTGACCACTGACCCTGTGACCACTGACCCTGTGACCAGTGACCTTGTGACCACTGACCCTGTGACCACTGACCACTGACCCTGTGACCACCGACCTTGTGACCACTGACCCTGTGACCACTGACCCTGTGACCACTGACCACCAACCCTGTGACCGCTGACCACTGACCCTGTGACCACTGACCCTGTGACCATTGACCCTGTGACCATTGACCCTGTGACCACTGACCTTGTGACCGCTGACCTTGTGACCACTGACCACCGACTCTGTGACCGCTGACCCTGTGACCATTGACCCTGTGACCACTGATCTTGTGACCACTGACCTTGTGACCACTGACCACCGACCCTGTGACCGCTGACCCCTGTGACCACCAACCCCTGTGACCACTGACCGCTGACCCCTGTGACCACCAACCCCTGTGACCACTGACCCCTGTGACCATTGACCCCTCTGACCACCGACCCCTGTGACCACCAGCCCCTGTGACCACCAGCCCACCCTGAAGCAAGCTCAGTTCATTCCCTGGACAGAGCAGGTTGCAGGAGCTCAGGGATCCACAGGCTGCAGGACTCTCAGCGTTTGCAAAGAGGATTTACAGTCCTTTGCCTTTCAGTTGACAGCTCAATGCACAGAGAGCAGCGAGCTGAGCTTGGCCTGTTACAAAGGCCTTTCCTCCTAGCCTTGATGAAGGTCCAGGTAAAAGGAGACTTCAATCAATTCCCTCCAGACTCGCTTCAGAAATTTCCCTTTCTCATCTAAAGACAGTGCCCAGAGTGGGCTCCAATGTCCTGGAACACCTGGAGTCTATAAAACAGATTAAAAAAAAAAAAAATCAGTGTTTGAACTATAAGGGGATAAAGATCACTGTCTCTACTGGGAGATGTCTGTACTAGAGGATGCCTCAATCCCTCACCTATGTACTGGGTCCTGTTATGTTTGGATACTCCCCTCTTCCTTCTGCCCCCCTATTTAGGGACAGAAGCAAAAATTCCTTACATTGTCTTAAATTTCATCTTTTGAGGGTTTAGTGTTTCGTGCTTAACCTCCACTAAATAACAAACAAATACTGTCCTGCTGCAGAAAAAGTTTTAAGCTTTATTATGCATCAATCCCAGTTTTAATCTTTAATGGTCTGTGATTAAAAACAGCACCAAGGGGTGTCTGAGGCCCCTTCCTGGGCTGGAATTGCTGGTTCTGAGTGCCCAATTTCATGTCTTGTGTTTCAGAAAAGTCCCAGGATAAGGTGTTTTTCAAAGGAAGATACTGGGGAAATCTTGAAACTGCTCCCACCTGTGCTCCCTGCCAGGTTATTGTGTGACCCACAATTCACAAACCAAGAGGCAGCAAAAGCTTAAAAAGCAGTTCAGGGTGACAGCAGCAGAACACACAGTAACTGCTGGTGAGCAAGAAATAAAGGATCTTAGACCAACCCAGTAAGTTGGACAGAGCTTTAGGACCACCTCCCTCCGTGTTTAAGTTTGCATAGGGATGCTACAGAAAAATCCACATCCATCACTGAGTCAGAGCCAGTGGGGAAACCCATTTGTTGATTTTTTTTTGTTTGGTTTTGTTTTGGTTTTGTTTGTTTGTTTTTAAATTTGAGCCATTTTTAGCTATTTCAGAAATCCCCTGCGAATCAGAGATCCCTGTACACTTCCAGCCCTGCCCCTGGGCTCTCCACCCTCCTCACACCAGCCACACCCCACCTTGGATGCTGCAGGTCTCCCCATCCTGGTAATTTATTGGAAACTGTTCAGCTATAAAAGAATCACAAGGTAATCAGAGTTCTCTGCAATCTTCCTATGAGCTCTTCCTTCTGAATTCATGATTCTCTCAGAAAAGAGAGGCTGCTTAGCTGTGGGGACTAATGCCTGTCCCCTCCTATGTCTTTCAGATATTTTGTGCTCGTGCTCAAATATCCCACTGGGATTATAGTTCTAATTAGGCAACTTACAGACTTCACACAGGCAGAAGCTGCCATTCCTCACCTGCAGAATAATCATCTCCTCTGCCTTTATCAGAAGTTTCCTGTCATCTGTAGGGAGGGAAGAGATGGGAAAGAGACAGACAAGCGACAGGAAAAGGCAGAAAAAGTGGATCCCTCTTGAAATCAGATAAAATAATGAAAAGATGTGTTTTTTTCTGCTCGTGTGAGATACAGACAGTAAAACATACTTATACTTCCTGAATACTGCAGCCAAAACAAGGAGACCTACTGCAAAAATGGAAAGAGAATCTGCTCCTTTCCACCACCATCAGTAACATAGAGAGATCTGCAGCCTGCTTGAATACATGTTTTTGGTATAAATTAAGAAATCCAGAAAAATTATGAAGTGGGCAAAGGATCCAGGAGACAGAACAACAGAAAAATTACAGAGTTATCTGCCACAGTTTTGAATATTATCACAACCATTCCCTGAACAAAATGAACATTTAAAACAATAAATATTAACTCAGGACAGAGGCACTGATGGGGACACCCACACACTTCTCCCCAGGAGTGAGCACCTCACAGGTAGGTCAAGGCAAACCACTTTTACCAATAGCCATATTTATTGAAAGCAAAGCAATCTTCCAGCTTTTTGTGTTTTATAACATTGTTTTAATAACCCTGAAATCATGACTTGCACTGGGACCACGTTTTCATCAAGAGAAAATTTACAAGCAACTCGTTTCCAATGCATGGGACAGTAAAAACCAAACACCAGGGGCACACACACAGAGGACAAAGTGTCATAGTCACGTCTAATGAAACACCTTCATCAGAGAGAAGGAAACAGTGGGAGCATGAGGGGTTAAAATGGTCATCTGATGGTCAGCTGGACTGTCTCTGCAGAGGCTGGACTGGTGCTGGAGGATGGAGTCTGGCAACTTGCAGCAATAGTTAACCTGAGCGATTGGTGTATCCGCTGGAGGAAGACACCTAGACCCCACTAGAACATGGGCACGTTAGTCCGTCCTCCCTCAGGAAAGCTACAGTGTGGATGAGTGTTGGAGGCGCCTCTCCCGAATTCCAAGAGCACATTTCTGGAAGAGACCCCTCGGGAAGGAGGGGGATGTGAGAGGACAGAAGCCGGGTTGCTCCCGCGGCCGTTAAGGTTTCACGGGCACGTCGCCGCCTCGGGAGCGGCACAAGGACCTGGGTGAGACAGTCCAGGAGACCTGCAGGGAGCTGACACATCCTGGGCATCTCCTTCTGATCCTGCCAAGTGAGCCACAGACACCTGCAGACATTTGGGGAGCTGCCGTTTCCCTCGGGGCGCTGCGGAAGGCGGCGGACGCCAGGCATCCGTGCAGTTCACACCAAGAGTTCCTTTGAGCTCCACATCCCATTTTTCCAGAACTCCCCTTCCCTGAAACTGGCTCTGCAGGACTTGAGATTGTACATTCAGCATCAATACAGTGAGACAGGGGCACAGCTGGCACCGGGCAGCGGGGACTCAGCAGCAGTTCGTGGACAGCATCAGAGGATCCGTCACCACGGCAGCCTTGGATCTGCTTGGATCTGCTCCACACTGTAGCTGCCCACAACCCAAATCCTAAAGGGTTTTCCAATTCCATTTCCAGACTCTTCCAACTCCAATAATTCTTAACATATACAGATATCCATATACAATTATTATTTTTTTTTAATTAAAAAGCTCCTTCACATACACAATCATATATTGAATTAGCAAGAACAATAATATATTTCTGGAGCAGAAAAAGCGAAAACATCTGCTCTGCCAGTGCCACCCACAAACTAGACAAGGAACTAAGAAGAAGTTTGACAGTTTCAGATCACTTAGGAAACAGAAATTCTCTTGGCCTTAAGACAGGGAGCCATGCAGTGAAGGTGCCATGGAGGGTACAGCAAATGCAATATACAGAAAAACCACAAATTGTTAAAAATGTTTTCTTGTAAAGGTTCTGGAGCCACAGGGTGAATCCTGATCATCAGGAGCTTTCTTTACAATTTGAGAAATACTGAATAGCACTGAAGCAGAATGACACTGAAAATAAAGAGCTATGCCAACAGTAAATGATTTGATTTTGGTTAAAAGCTGTATTCCCTTTAATATACCAGGGGGATGCTAAATATTAAGAGAGCATTTGATTTACAAAAAGCCATCACTGCCAACCCCATGGAAGACTGAAACATCCAACTTCATAAGGGACTTTGATGTCTTGTCAACAAAACCTAAAGACACCAGAACCAAAAAGTTTTCCTTGCCAAGCTAAAAATGCCCAACAAAATGCAAACCAAACAAAGAACCAAGGAAGGAAAAGAGAAGGAAACTCTCTTCCAAGAGTTACATTAGAAACGACTGGAAGAGTTAAAAAATAGGGAGGTGAGAAGGAGAACAGTAAAAAAGAGCTGTTCAACTTTGGGGCCAGATCAATAAAATTGGCAGAACAGGCTGCAGACAGGGTTTTTTATCTGTTTCAGTAACAGAAGCTACCCCCAAAGCTAAATTTGGGTATTTTAAACTCTATCATACCCACCAGCAAACTGCAACTCTGAAGTTGCTGGGGACCCCCCTGCCCCACGGGTCTTCCTTATGGAATTATGGTTTATGGACAATCCCAGTGACAGCACAGGTGGTTGTTCAGGACTGGGAACCATTTTCTTATTAATCCAGCTGTGCACGATAGTTTTTTCCTTCTCAAATGGACTGGGGGAATGAGTTTCACCAGTACAAACTCGCACCCACCGAGACCCAGGGCCAGCCCTGCTGTACAGCACATTCAGCACCAGCTGCCCCAGTGCCACCAAGGGTCAGGAACTGGTTTGGTGGAGGTGGGAGGAGAACATACACTCCAGTTCAGATGAGGGAGGTGGAGCAAGGTTGGGATCTCCCCAGGAATCCTGGTCCCTTCATCTCCTGTGCCTCAGGTTGGCATGGCTGGGGTAGCGGGACCTTGGAGTGGTTACCCACTGCAAACACCTTCCTCAAGTCAAACCCTGAAAGGCCAAACATGAAAATATTTTGGTGTTCCTACCCTATTGCTCAGCTCAAAAATTTTACTGGCAATTTAGAGACATCCAGGTCCAGAAACTGGGAGGTTCTGGAATGACCGAGCAGGAGAGTCATCTCCAGCCTCGCGGCCTTCGCAGGGCTGACGAGTCACCTACGTTACTGAAGGCATGGAAAAATGATAAAAACAGAATTTTAACATAAAAATGGTCACTACTGGTTCTGCAGTGCTTTTGGATGTGATGTGCAAAGCGTTCATGGAACAAGCTCATGAGTGTGTCACCAACAAGCAGAGGGAGCGACCACAGGAGGGGTTTTCCTGGCTTAAGTCATCCTCGTTCAAAGTGAAAGAGTTAAACTTCTTCATGAAATACCTTTACAGATTTAACAATAGATATACTTTTAGTATCCCCTGCATAAAAGAAAAATACACATTATTTCAACAGCCAAGAAAAAACTGCAATTTATTAAGTTTCAAAGAATCTTCGTACTCTTGAAAGCAACTTTCGGTGCATGTTCTTTAACAATCACATTCTATGAGGAGAATAAACATTAAAAGCCACAATTGTTGGTTTTCTTTTTAATCTCAGAGTTACAGACATCTTTAATTCAAAAGGAAAAGGCAAAAAAAAAGAAAAAAAAAAAAAGAAAAAAGCCCCAAAACAAAACCCACCCACCCCCCTAACCCGCCAACAGAAATTTTCATTCCCAATTTGAAAATATCAGGAGTTTTTCTACAACTCAATGCTAAACTTCAGCATGGAAAATTGTATGTAAACACGCACATACACACATACATATTTTATATAAGTGTGTGTGTGTATATATATATAAAATATATATGTAACAGGCGTGTAATGGCAATGAGATGCAATTACTCTGAGGAAAGGTTATTCAGCTAAATACACTACTAAAACTTGAGGAAAAAAAAAACAAGTCTTGAACCCAGTTTGTGCATAGTTCATGATCCTCTATAAAACCAGCTTTTGTTAATTTGCAATCTTGCAGGACCCTTTAAATCTGATAAAACCATTAAAAAGCTAATCTTCCAAAAAAAAAAAAAAATGTAATGCACAAGTTTCCTGATCCAAGCAGGCAGGGAGCACAATGTTCATATAATTTTTAAAACATACTTGAAGTGTATGTTATTCCATTGTCTTTCTTCCTTTCAAAACAATCAAAAACATTGATCTTTTTTTTTTTAAACATAAAGCGATTTTTTAATATATAAAGCACTCTTCAAACATCTATTTCTTTTGAGTCCATTATTTGGTAAATATGTAACTGCTACACATTAGATTAGGTATTTTCTTCTTTCTTACTGTCTTTTTTTTTATTTTATTTTGTTTTTTAATAATATCTTCAGTGCTAGGAGTTGGGTTTTTAAAAATACATGAAATGGTGTGGAGTTGCTCCTCGGGAAACCCGGCTTTCCTGAGACATCTTCCACCATGTGCAAGATAGTGATCACAAAGTTTTCGCCACTTTGACGAAGAGGAGGAAAACAACAACAAAAAATAGTACACAGCAATGGCCAAAGAAAAGGATAATACAACAACACTGTTCAATCCCAGAGCTCTGAAGTAGCATATCTTCATTCTGAAAATAGTTTTCTTTACGATGGAAGTCTTTTTTTTTTTCCTTTTTTTTTTTTTTTTTTTTTTTTTTTTTTTTTTTTGTAATTCCTTTTTTTATTTTAAAGTTTGAAGGAGAGAAAAAAAAGGTCTGTAAACAGGTGGGAGCCAAAACTCCTGGCTCCTCCAAAAGCAGTCAAAACTTATGTCCAAGTGCTTGTTTCTGTTCCTGCTTGCAAGGGAACTATCAACTCTTTACAATTATCTATGGCCACAGTTCAACAAGAGTATTTTTTTTTTTAAACTTTATATCCCGAATGGAAAAATGGTGCAATACTCCGGTAATAATTTTCTTGCATTAGTCCACAATAAAAAGCCGCTAAAGGTAGATATACATATTATTCTCCAGAGATACACACTGTAATTTTTAAAATGCAATAAGAGTCCTTGAGTAAACATTTACACGTGAATTGTCGCCGGCCCCTTCTATCAGTTTCTTTCCTTTTTTTTTTTTTCTTTTTTTTTTTTTTTTCCTTTTTTTTGTCCTTTTTTTTTTTTTTTAACCATTACAGGATTAGCTACAAGAAGGGCTGCGGACACTCAGTGCAAAGTTAGAAGCTAATAACAATTAAAACATTTGACCAATGAGCAAATAAAAAGCATATACTGAATCAAAAGGAAAAAACTTCACACGTTGAGTTAAACCACACGTGGGCACACACACTCACACACACACACACACACAGGCACACTCACATCTGTCCCAACAAAAACATAGAGTCTGAACTTTTAAAAAAAAAAAATTCTTAGAGCCTGTTTTTTGTGTACTGATGCTGACCTGGAAGTGTAATAATTCAACTCAGAAAGTGTTCACATTTTGTTATTGGCCTGCTGGATTCAAGTATTTGCATGTTGATATGGTTTGTTGCCTTTTTTTTTTTTAAATTTTTTTTTGTTTCTTTGTTGATTTTTTTTTTTTACTTTTTTTTTTAATATATTTTTGGGATTAAAAAAAATGACATGAAAAAGTAATGAAACAAGGGCAATGTGCATAGGCAGATCCATGGGAGTAGTGGACACAGAGATACCCCAACCCTGCCCTCCCTCCCCCCCACTCAACCTGTACAGTCCATAGTTCCCAACTTGGATTCGTCACTTTTCTGTACCAATGGTAAATATCACACTTCACCCTTTCTGATTATTGGGTCCGCCTCTGTAATGTGCATAATAGTCACAGGCTCATTTAAATAGGCTTTCATTTCCCCTTCCCACCCCCCCGAAGTTGATAAAATAACCCTTTCCAGCCCAAATTCTGAAAAGTGCCCTTCATGATAGACCTATCCTAAGCAGCTTTTATACTTGGTTTTGAAAAAAAAAAAAAAATCACCATACAAACATAAAAAGACAACATAAAACAAAAAAGCCATGAAAAAAAAAACCAAAACAAAACAATAAAACCTGTCATTAGCATGTGACACTGACCAAAAGGAGCCCATACTGTTTCAGGAACAGTTCACAAGGACTTCTGCAGTTTCGGATTCGATATTGGACAGAGGTACTAAGGAGGGCTGCCAGTCTCATGGGTTAAAGCTGGATTCTTCATCGAGCCCGGGACTGGAAAGGGTTACAATTTTTTTTTATTTTTTTTTTTTTAAATTTTTTTTTTTTTCCTTTAGTGCTGATGATTGTTATTTCCATTTTGTTTTCTCTCCCGTTTCCTAGATGGACTCCCCGCTGAGAAGATCCCCCGGGAGGAGAGTATTCAGAGGCGTGGGGCTCCCGATGACTCTGCCGTCGTCGGCGCTGGGGGGGCCCCAAAGGCTGCTGGAGTACTGGGGGACCCCCCCCCACAGCAGGTCGCTGCTGCCCTTGCCCCCCAGGCAGGGGGGGTTCCAGTGGCCGGTGTCGGGGCGCACCAGCCCGTGGGAGCTGCCGGAGGAGCCCAGGCGGGTCTGGGTGGATCCAGTGTTGGACTGCCAGCTGGAGGTGGGCGGCAGCGCCTGGCCCTGCGCCAGGAAACGGTTCACTTCTTCCTCACCAGCAAACTCGGCCAGGATGGTAGTGTTTCCCAGGACACACCTGAGGGCACAGACAGAAAAGGCGGAATGATGTGAGACGAGGGGTGCAAAGGGCACTGCTGGGAATACCCGAGGTGGATGTCCTGTGAGGAAAGGCTGGGAGAATTGGGGTTGTTCAGCCTGGAGAAGAGAAGGCTTTGGGGTGACCTGATTGCTGCCTTCCAGTACCTGAAGTAGCTACAAGAAACGTGGAGAGAGACTATTTACAAGGGCCTGGAGTGACAGGAAAAGGGGAATGGCTTTTTCTATCTCACAGATTAGATATTGGGGAAAAATTCTGCCCTGTGAGGGATAAAGCACTGGCACAGGTTGCCCAGAGAAGCTGTGGCTGCCCCATCCCTGGAAGTGTCCAAAGCCAGCTTGGATGGGGCTTGGAGCAACCTGGGCTAGTGGAAGGTGTCCCTGTCCATGGCAGGGGGTGGAATAAGATGGTCTTTAAGGTTCCTTCCAACCCAGGCAATTCTGTGATTCTGTGACACAGGTCCATCTAACTCCAAGTTGAAATTGAGGTGTAGATTTATACCACACCCACTCATTTTGACCAATCCCTGCCTCTTTGACAAAGCCTTCTCTGTCCTGTTTTCTATCCACCTTTCTGCATCAACAGGCAAACACCCAAAGCCATATGTGTGATCACCTCCTTCAACTGGGACTCTCTTTAGGTATTAGGATAAAAGCCCACAGCCAACTGCTGCTTCTGCTACCTCAATACTTTCATTATACTCATGCTATAACCTCTTCATAAAGAAAACTGCTTTCCAACACTAAGCACCCAAGTATTCTCCTGAAACATCAGTCTCTGCATTCTTCATCCTCCCTGATTCACTGATTTCATCCCTCAGATTCTCCCCTCCCACTTTTATGCCAATTAATCCCATGGGTTTTAAAACTCCTAAACCCCACATTTTGTTGTCACACACTTCTCTCATAACTCCTTTAAAAAAGGTGACCACCATGAACACATTCTTAATTTATCATTGTTATGTCCTTTCTGTTGCTCTCCAAAGCTAAAACCTTGTCCCTCCCTCCGAGGGACAAACTCTTTGCAGCCTTACAGATGACAAATCCTAACTGAAAACATTATTAATGGTGAATAAAGTTTTGTAATGACCTCTTATTCAGCAGTACATGAGTATCTATCCCCCAGCTAATTTTTCTCTATCTCATTCAGGTAATTTTAAAAATCAGATTAAAGTAACTAGTGATCTGAGTTCTGACTCCTGGCAAATAAATGCCTAAGAAGTTAGTTTCTGAGATAAATGTGGCTTAATAACCAAAGAAAAAGAGAGCAGAAACATACATGTGCAGAGACTTTTGGGCCTTGGCTGCTTCCTCCTTGGAACTGTATCGGACCACAGCATTCCCTTGTGTCAGGTTCAAGTGGAATGTTATGAGAGGGCCGTGTTGCAAACACAGTGTCCGCAGTGTGGAACCATCAATCTGGGGAGAGAAGGGGGCAAAGGTGGTCTGTGCTGCTGTGATGTTACTTAAAATGCTTGTTAAGCAAGTTTTATAAGCTAAAGAGTGAGTACAAGTGAAAGGAAAAAAAGAAGAATGTAATTACAGACTTAGCACTCTCTGCACTGAGGGAGACATCCTGTCTTTTCTTAAGACTTCCCTATAGTCCAGTGCACAAAATTTCCCAGTTTAGGTCATATAAATTATATTTATCATTGAAAGTCCATAGAAGTTGAGAAAGAAGTCAAAGGAAAAACACACTGTTCATAAATATAACTTAATTTTCCCCAAGATCAGTTTGGATGTTTGCATTCAAGGCTTTGTGGTTTATATTCTTCCTTCTCAATGACACTGTGTGAAGGACAAGTAGAGGATTTAACAGACTTGTGAGAACCACCAAAAAAAACCCACAGGAAAAGTAGATTTTACATTTCTGTGCCTGCTTTAAAGCACCATTCACCTCCAAACTTACACATACACAAATGGTGCCCACCGAATGACTAATTACAGCCTTAAAAGTTTATACTCGATTTGACAGCACTTTGAAAACCTAATAAATTCCCTGAAGAAGACACCTGTAATAAATGCAGACTAATTATTCTTCCTTCAAATAATTCAAATAACCAAGGCTGCTAAATGTTGTTCTTATAATCCCTTAAATGTACCAGCTCTTTTTCCCTAACCAGTTAAGCACAATTCCAAGTTACCTGGGGGGTGAGGTTCCGAAGAACCAGCCAGCTGCTTGTTCTCCCTGAGCTGTCAGTGCTCCATGCAGAACCTGCAAGAAAATTCCACAAAAAAAAAAAAAAGCACTGATCATGGTTTGGAGAGCATATTACAAGCAAATTTATTTGGAATCACAACACCCTAGCAAGCCTTTCTGCTACTGAAAACAAATCCTATGGCTATTTCCTCACACCTTGATTTACTGTCTCCTCTGGAATGAAAGACTGCTGAAGGAAAACCTGCTCTTGTTACATTTAAAAGGTCTGTGGCTTTTTCCACACTCCCAGAGTAACTATCAGGAAACTGGCAGATGCAGGTATGACACTGCAGCAAACTGCATCTCCAGGATACATTAGAATTAATCTGGAAGGCACATTTTAAAAGCAATTCTGATGTCCAAGCTCAGGCTGCTGCCTGCTAATAAAGATTTTATAGCACTGCAGCACTCTGCTATCTTGCCAATGACAGATTAATGTATATGACTTATTCAAAACAGGTATTTCTGCACTGACAATGTCCTGATTGAAGATACAAGGACATAACCAACAAAACCTGCTCTTCCAACCTCAGCCTGGTGTTTTACAGCTTGGAGTTTTGCATTAAGAAACTGTCCAAGCTTGGTATTTATGAGTGGCATTTGAGAAACCACAGTGGATCCTGTGGTCATACATGTGACCACACTCAGGCTGGAGAGACTCTGGGCAGCAGCAATATCTGCCCCTACAGGTGGGGCTCTGGTGAAGGAAACAGATCCAAAATTAATACCAAAAAAAAGAGAAAAACATTTAATTCTCAGCTTAGTGAAAGCAGATTAATAAAATAGTCAGCTTTATCAAATAGGTGTAATACTTGCATATATATCTATATTTATACAGATATCTATATAGAGAGCCAAATATACATATATACATATATATATATACAGCCATGGTTTCTCATATTTGCATTTAAGCAAAACAACATCTAAAAAAAGAGTCTGTGTGAAAAAAATTAAGGCATTCCCTGCAATGCCATTAGGTCCTAAATGCTTCACATCCATGCTCCAAATATGTATCCCATATTAAATTCCCTGAGCTGATATTGAAGCCTTGCAGGGAGTTCTAGATCACACCATAAAATTAGGAAGGCATTTTTAGAAAATAAGGAAATGGGGAAAAAAATCCCAGTTGGAGAGAAAATAATTTGACAATTCCTGTATAGAATTACTCGTTTAATGAGTAATTACATGAAAGACAGCAGCTTCATTCACAACTTAGCCAAAGTGAAATAAATAGACATGAGATTAATCCCCAAAACAGACACAACTCTGCTGGCACTGAACCTCCAGATTCTGGAGGCCAATACAGAGAATAAAAGCAGATGTAGTAAAGCAGAGAAGCTGTGGGTACCAGAGGAGTAAGAGCTGGTCCAGCCCAGGGGACTGGCTCCCCACGTGGATGATGGCTTGGTGTTGGTTAAGCCTGGAGGGGGTCTCGTCGGAGCCGTAGTGTTTCTGGGTACCTTCCAGAGTTCGTGGGACAGAGAGGCTTGGGTGTGAGAGATCGGGCCAGAGGACCACGTGGACTTGATGTCTGACAGTTTACCTGCAGCAGGAAAAAAATATATTTGTGTATTCTTAATTTTAAACCCAGTAGGAAGGGTATCATTGCTATGTTCCTCCAGCTTTTCAGGAGGAAAACAACAACAACCTTCTGTACCATCCAGTGCTATCAATCCTATATCCTTTGAACCTACCAGAGTTTACATTTTCAAACAATTTCATATTTAATGAACCTCACACCACCTGCTACACACACAGTTCCCTCTTTAAAATCTCCTACTTCTTCTCTTTCTTTTTAAAGATGATACATGAAAAAAAGACCAGAAAATGGACTTAGCTATTTAAAATCTAATTGCACCAAAATTATAATGAAACATTTCAAGATTGTCTCTCTCAAAAGTTTAATAGGACTTAAACTTTTTTTTTTAACAACTCATTTTATCTAACAAAGAAACCAGTATATCCATATGTTCTCCTGACATATTATTAAAATTCTAAAGATCAAAGACCAATAAAAACTTAATTTCTTAATATTCAAAGTAACTAATACTCTTTTTTCCAAGTATCTTTGAGGAAAATGAAGTCTGCAGAAGTTCAAATCATATCACAACCTGTCACTGTAACTTTTTGCTGTTCAGTTTGTTATTTCTCTAATCAGTTTTTAAACTCTGACTACTGTTCCTGCCAAATCAGAGTTCAATAAAAAAACACAAAACCAACAATAGCAAATACAGTTTAGCATTTAGAGAGGCAGACAAAATTGATTTAAAATACAGGTAACCAAAATAAACCTCTTTATTCACCTTTAGACTTACACCTCCCTGCCTTTGCTCCTTGTACCAACACATGTTGTGCAATTAGAGCCCAATTTCCTTGTCACAGCACAGTCCTGCTGTCACCAACACTGGAATGGACTGAAAGGGACACATCCTGCATCTTCTGCCACAGCAAATGATGTTGTGACTGTGCTGCCTTAATGCTTTAAAGCTGATTGCAGAGAATAAGAAAATACTTGGTCTGACAAAGTCTAAGATGCAAAAATCTTGTGAGTTTTTACAAGACTAGATTTGAACTGGCAGATTTAAGTTTATACTGGATCAGTGCTTTGCATCAAGGCAGCCAATGAGGGGTTTTTTTATCAGTCCTAAAGCCAAATTTACCTGTTGCCAAGTCACAGCCTCAGTTATATACACACACACTCTCCCCAGATTGCCTCCATTTATCTAAATCATTTAACTCAATGATTTTATATTGAATCATAACAATTCAAGTGAAAGGGCAACCACCCTCCCATCTTCTCGCAAACTGTAGCAACAAAACCAATTTGACAATGATGATGAGGACATGAATGAGTGTAAAATGGTGTGAGGGAAGGGGGCAAGTCTGAGTTGGAGAACTCAGAGTAGCCCAGCCTGTGACGTGGCACACGAGACATGCACATCACCACAGACCAGATGTTGCTATGTCACTACTTCTCATGGGGGTAACACAAACAGTAGATGACACTGCAAAAATATAAGAAGCAAATAAAGCAGAAATGCATGGCAGATAAAGAAAAGCAAGCCATTCCTTTCTTTTCCTTTCACTGGAGGAAAAACGTTCCAAACAACCCCTTTTCGTTTCGCATTCTGCAGTATGACCTGGAGGCTGCACCTTCCTTCATCCAGAGAAGTGTTTTCAGTGGTTAGATGTGAAAATGCTAATCCAATCCATACAACAGCCCCAACACATTTTTATAATGGGACAAACTGGATATTTAGGTAGATAGTTTGCAAGCAAAGTTGCCATGTTTTGCAGAGATACACTCCAGAATTCAGAGCTCATTAAAAAGAATGGGGCAGTTATTTAGTCCACTTACAAGCTCAGTCATACAGGGCAGCATCAGGCTTTGGCTTGGCTATTAAAAGACATTTAAGAGCCCCAAGAAACCCAACCCCTCCAGAGACATGCAAAGTTAAGTCCTGGAGGTACTACTAAAGCTTTTCCTGAGCTGAAGATGTTTCAATTTCAAGAGTGAGTTTAGTAACAAAATTTTCACATCAGCTCTTACTGAAAGTGTCTAGCAGGGGAGTTCCTGCTGAGGTCCTAGACAACATTCCTCCTCAGAGATCTGGATGCCAATACAGAGTGACAGCACATGGCACCAAATGGAATAACCACATTTTTCCTGAGCACAATTCCAGGCACACTCTCCAGCACTCCCCGCTGAAGGGCTGCCGGGAGAGCTGCCCACCGAGCCCAGCACTGAGAACACGCTTCTGTCTCTGGCAGCAGGTGCTGCAACCACTGGGAAAGCACCTCCTAGGGCCTTTTGCTGAGAATGCAGAAGGATGTGGAAGTAGAAAGGCCAGTTCCGTACCTGCAATGCTAGGTGCAGATGCAATGCTGCTGAAAGAGCTACTGTAGCCGGAGGCACTAAGCGGCCAGGCACTCGATGAAGGCAGCGTGGCATTCTGAGATGATGTTGGGGATGACCCTGCAGAACCAGCAGAGAAGCAACTAAGAAAGATGGGCATAATGATGTTTGGTGTGACATAAGCAAATCTGTTATGTGCAAATACAAACCATGCAAAGGCATTTCTCCTTAATCAGCCTGGTCTCTGAAGGCTAGGGATGAAATGTTATCGAAGGTGTGTTACAGTGAAGCAGAAGTCTTTGGTAGAAAAGAGAAGAAAGCTGGCACAGTAGCAGTTGGAGTACTGCCTGTGAGGGAGGCAAATTCTGCATTTCCTTTAAGATATGTGACTCAAAAAAATTAGTGTTAAACTGTTTAGTCTCAAGGAACAGGCCTCATTTATCAAGGTCCTCTGCCAGCTGACTTAGGTAATGGCAACTGTAGATGAGCAGAGATGCATATGATAAACTAACCTCTTACCATGGGTGATCTGTCCTAAATTACTCAAGGTAAGTACTTTCCCTACATCCTAATGCCCACAAACATCTTTAAATTTTTGCAGACTTTCAGTAAAGTAAGGATATATTTTAGCAATCTCTTCTTCAACTGATAACATAAATGAAATAGCCTGAAACTACCTCAGTAAATCATTTACAATCTGAGGAGCTATCTAAGAATACATTTCCTTGCTGGCAGCAAATGAAAGAAACTGAACATAAAATAAAAAAATCTTCATTACAAAGACCAGAAGAGCTGGAAGTATTCTCTCCAGCCACCAACAAAATCAAATGTGTATCCTGGGTGACTTATCATTCCTGTCACACGTAGATGGACTGTGATACTGAAACATCTTTAACTGACTAATAAAAATAGGTGAGTTCTTTAGAAAAGAGCACTGTACTGAGGGAGAAGGGAGGAAGTAAAAGGACAAACTCATCCCTCACAGCTCAATAAAAAACAAAGGCTGTCTGTTCAACTGGAACAGCAACCCAGCAAACTTCACCTTCACCACACTCCTTGCACTCCCTAGGACACCAATACAGACATCAAGTTTGAAGCAAAATAACTCTGTATCAGGCCTTCTCTGGAAATAATCTATTCCCTAGGCAGGAGTGATGGAATTATAGCAGATTCAAAAGCCTACAGAGCTGACACTGGTCCTGATTCCTTGTGGCTATGTCTCTCAGCTCATAGTAGCTGACCCTGCAAAGCTTTATTAGCAAACAGGGCAAAGCAAAAACCAACCCAAAAGCTTGGGTTTTGCCTGTTTCCAAGGGCACACCACAGCCTAACCCTCTAAATGGGGACCAGCTCTGTCAATACAATCTGTGTGTTCAAAGACAGGCTCTTCCCATGAAAGCCACAGTCTCATATGGATGGGCACTGACAGCAACAAGCAATTTTACCAAAGAGCAAACCCCCTGGGTTATATGAGCACAAAGAAACAGATTCTGAACTATATTTTTATTAAGATTATATGGTCAAATGAAAAAGCTAATGAGGAAAGGAAGCACAGGTGGACCCCAACAGTCCCTGCTCTGCAGAAGGCTTGAGTTCCTTAGGGCCTCTTTACTTCTGCAAAGACCATCTCTGCTGACCCTCTCCAAGAAGCAAATTATTTCTTCTACCACCAGATTATACACTAGCAGAGCCAGTGTTCCTTCTCTAAAACAGGAAGGCCTGTATTAGGTATCCTCTGACTTACAGGTACAGCTCTGTAGGTGTAGGCTTTTGGCCTGAAAAGAGTATTTCTTGGGTGAACCCTATTTGAGCTGTCACTGAATTACATCTTTGTACTTCTTGTAACTTCAAACTCTGCCTGCCCCTTGAAACACACTTGGGTCATTGAAAGTTAATTCAACATTATTCATGCACAAAAATACTCTGTCCTTCAGCATAAATAAAGATTGCTTCCTGGCAAGAGAGCACTCAAATGGCTGGAGGCAATGAAACCCCTGCCTCCTTTCCCTCATGTTTTTACATCCCTCGCTGAATTAACAAGCCCAGAGCTGGACACTCATTTCAAGGATAGTTCTGATTTACAATCTGTGCTGATACCACAGATGTAACTATTAGAACAAAATCCACATTTTTAATCCTGACAGATCCTTCTGGACAACCTGATTGTGCTATTTCTGTGCCTATTACAGTGCTCTAATAGAGTGCAGATGACTTGGCTATTTCAGCACCCTGATCACAATTAAACCAAGCCACCTTTCCTTTTGATCCACTTCCAGTACATCTAGCTAACAAGTCCCAATGCTTGATTGTTTTATAGAATTCTCTTTTTATTCTGAAGTAAGCACTGCCAAGACAAAAGGAATGGAAATGACACTGGGAAATAGTAGTTTACTAGTCAATTCCCCTAATTTTTTTCTTTTCTTTTATGGTTTTGGGGATAAAACAGCTCTAATTTATTTTGCTGATTGATCTTCTAACAAAGCTACAATTAATTAGTGTGCCAGAAGCCTGCTGCCTCAGCAACAACTGTGGAACTTTTGTACTGTGTCTTCTTAGCATTTCACAGTGTAAGTAGGAGGGTGGGCAGTGTGGAGAGCAAAATCTCATTCAAAACCAAGTGTTACAGGTTAGGAAAAACTTCCAGTGACCACAGAAGTTTAAATTACATCTCAAACAGAAAAATATTTACGTTCCCATGGAAAACAAGAAACTTCTTAATCCCATATTTAAAACAAGTATTTCTGGATATTCAGTGAAAGTTCTGAGCAGAAGCATTATTAGATTAGGAGTACATGCAAAAATATGCTGCATCTGTAACAAATGAGGTCAACATTTTTTGAGAGAAGAAGAAAGAATGCACAGATGTGAGAGTAAGTTGTGTGTTTACCTCCACTCTTGAGGAGATAGCGATTAACATCCTGTATCGTGGTGTTTATGGTAGGCCCAGTTGGAACACTTCCAGGAGTAACATCGGGGTCATTTTCAGGATCAATATTCTGCAGTCCTTTCCATGGCACTCCTGGATGAAACTCTGTTCCAAATACAACAGAAAAGAGGAGGGTGTAAGGTCACAATTCTGTGCAGTCCCCGTGCATCAGAAGGATGCACTAAATGAACCCAACAGTACATTTTAAGGACATCAGTTCAACACCAAGGCTTTGTGTTTTCTTACCTGGTGGCCAGTTTATGCTGGAGCCATTGGAAATCTTATCACTATCGGATTTGGCACGTGACCAGCTGTGAGGAACAGCTACGGGTGGGCTGGCAGGAGACTCACTGTTCTGAATCAGATCATACCGGCCATAGGAGTCATCAATGGAGGACTTTCCTGGAGGACCAATACTTAAACCTCCAGGTATAGCACCTGCAAGGAATGAGAGGGAAAGGCTTCTTTTAGGAGCAGGACTAATTTGGGGTATGGAGTTTCATCAGTCCCTATATTTTGTTATTTTTTTTTTTTAATTATTTTTGGTATTACAAAGGTAAAAAGAAAACTAAAACACAAGCACAGTAAGCCAGGCTTAAGAGCCTCTGAAGCCTTACTAGGGACTACAGCTGTGAGATGAGTTGCTGGTACAATCTAGACTCAAGTTAAAGAAATTTGCACTAAATTCCTGCCAAAAAGAGACTTGAGTAATTCAAATCATTACACTGATGGTAAATAGGAACTTGCTGTGACAGCATACTGAGGAATAGCAGTGTAGGCAACCCCTTATCTCATCCTTCCCAAGGCATTCATTGCTGATGGGATGGATGACTTGAAATTGTTCTCGTGTTCCTACAAACTATCAAACAACAATTTGGCATAAGCAGTGCAGCTACTTTCACAATAAAAAACTTGTCATAGAAGGAATAATTCATGCTGCTCATAACAAAACCCAGGATACATTAAAGTTAACAGAGCCCCATGTTCCAAAAAATAAACTTAGTACAGGAAATAAAGGAATGACTGACTCAGGATACTGGAGGTGTTAGGGATTAAAGGTGTTCAAACAGATTAGCAATCACTTCGGGAAAAATAAGAAGTCAGTGCTCCTAATTCCAGGGTGGGTGGAATCCAAAGGCAATCCATCATGCCTTTGTACAGTACTGGCTGGGAAAGGTTGATGATATTGGAAAAATTGTGGGAGAAAGCCCATGTAAAGTTTTTTAGGACTGAAGGTATACAGGTCTGGAATAAGGGGGAGGTTGTGGGACTTGTTTTGCCGACACTAAAGGGTTGTTTTATTTGAACTCCATGTTCTCAACAACAACATTCAACAAATGAAAAAACCATTTCTACACTGCATGTAGGAAGTGAGAGCTGCAGGCACTTCAGTGCACTGCTGAATGTGACTGCAGAAATCATCTGTAAAATCTCATGAGCTCACAAGGCATTTGGTACCAACCATTTACGAGCACTTACACAAGAAAGTAACATGAGAAAAGTTATTACAATTACACCGTGGCTCAAATCCCAAAAAACCAGACTGCCACAGGGATTACAGGGGACATACCGTGCTTGCTGGAGTTCTGGTCAAGAGAAGAAGCAGCACTAGACAGATTATCCATTGAGTTGGGGTGTGTCCACTGAGGAAGGCGAGACTGGGACTGAGAAGTGTCCTTCACTGACAAACCACCAGTAATGTCCATGTTATTTACATTCATGTTCGGGTTCAGTCCAGCTGAGGGGAAAGAGGTCATTAGATAGCCATCATATAATTAAAAGAGGTGTTTAAAAACCCAGCTACAGGAATTACTGAACACCCATGTGTGTATTTGTGTCACTTACAACCTGCTGTCAAGAACTTTTGATTTTATGAGAACACCAAAACATCTCCCCTGAATTCAGAAAATGTTAAAACTTTGCTGAAAAAGGGAGGGAAAAAAAGGTGTAGGGATAATATATTAAAGCTGTGTTTCTACTTACAGTCTCCTCACTTGTCTCAGGAAAGGCATTCCAGAAGAATGCACTGGAATGTTATGTTTAAACCAGTGAAGAGTTTGCAGCATTCCATGGCTACGCCAAAATATTCCCAATGTCTCCCCAGCACACCCTCATGATGTCTGCCACCTCATTTTGCTAACAACATTTTAAAAATCCCAAACAAAGCAACCAATTAAAGGCCAAACAGTGGTTGTTCATCAGAGTGGGTATTTTACTACTTGGGCTTGTATTTTGTACACACAGAACAGACTCCCTCAGACTGTTATTTAGGGAATAATTTTGACATGCTCCTGTGACACGAATCTGGGTCTTTTTTGATATATAATCCTGAATGTTAGCAGATCACAGGAAGCTGAGAAATCATAAGAACCTCTTAGACTTAGGCCTTTAATTCACAAATTCTTTTGCCTTCTGATGCTCCCTGCCATAACAGCTCACCAGAGCAGTCAGAATTACCTTCTTAACTGCTGCATGGCAGATAAAGCTTGGCAATTCTATTGTACCCAGCATAAAGAGAGTCACAAAGAGATTAAATTAATTCCTTTATGTCATAAAGGAAGTCTGTAGCATACATCAAACAATCACACAGGTCTGAAAGGTTGCTCTGTTCTGCCTGTCTCCAGGCCCAATCGATTATTTTGACATCAATCATATTTGACAGATCTATGTCTAATCTACCAGAGAATGGCTGCTGAAGAAGATTTTAGGAACTTCCCAGATAATTCATTCCAATACTCTACTTTGCTTAAAGCAACCAAGTGATCCTTAATGTTTAGCTAGTTCTCCTTTTAGGCAACAAAAGTTTATTACCTCTTGCATTAGCCACATGCAAGAAAACTTATTCACAGCTCTTTTACATTTTTGAAGATTCTTGCATGTCTCTTAAATCCTCTTTAGACTATAGTGAGCAGAGGATTTCATTTTTTCCTTAGCAGTTGTGTTTTTGAAACATCTAATCACCTCCCCTACACTCTGATCCATTTATTTCTTGGAATACACTGACGAAAACTGATGCCTTACCAGTGCTGATTACAGTGGAAAGATGACTTTCCACGACTTTCCCAGATGATATTCGTGTTTATCAATATGACATTTGTGTATTTTACAACATGATGCTGTTAATTTACACTTAGTTCATAAACAGCAACATAAGTGAATAGTTGATCAGGCAAATTTTGTCTTCTGGTTATTTGTAGGCAGAACACAGGTAGCAAATACAGCTACCACAAACTTTAAACACAGCCAAAACACAGGCATGTAGTGCCACGATTTTGTTTTGGCATTTCAGTGTTATTTAATAAACATATATATTTATGTATTTATGTTTGTTACACTGTGGAGCAAAATATTTAGATGCTGAGTTAAGGAAATAAGACTCCCTCTGTGTTTTCCAAGTGGACCTGCTGCAGGGAGGACACTCACCAAGAGGGTAAGGAGCAAAGGTGTTCGGTGAAGACTGTTGCTCTTTGGTCTGCAGGTCAGGTAGGCCGGGAGCCTGGGGATGGGGTGAAAAGCTATCCATGGCTGATTTGCCTGCAGAGGGGTGCAAAGATAGATGTGGAGGGGGAGGCTGCTGCTTCATAAGCAGGGCCTGGGCCAGCTGGCGCTGGTGCTGCTGGATCTGCTGCTGCATGTTATTGATTGTACGTGCAACCTGCAGGAGAGAGAATCAATAAATGCTCAATGGAACAAAAAGACACCAGACTTCTTTCTCTGCAGTGAAATAACACAATGGATCTCTTTACAAATAAGAATTGACTGTATTAAGGGGTGAAGAGCTTTCCTCCAATAACGCTGTGAAACAGCTTTAACACTCAGCACCCTTTGCTGTCACGCACTGCATTCCTGTTTTAAGGATGCTTTAGCTGCTTTGCTATAATGTCATTTGGTCTTTTTAAGCTATTGAAACCAAAGTAATGCAGAGATTGGGCTGGCAGGCAAACATACTTGCTGCTCCTGTTGTCTCATGGGTCCGGAAACATTACGCTGAGCCTGTAACATCTGCTGCTGGATTTGTAAACGTTGGTACGCCTGCAGAGACAAGGGAGAGGTCAGAGCCCCAACACACACAACAGGCTGAACATGCTTGCTAGAGCTGCTCTGGTACATCATGAAATAGAAAAGACAAACACTGGAGTTCTCTGAAAACAGTCAATGAAGCAAAAGTAACAACCTTGTCACAAATGTATTTTATAATTTATTTATTTTAGTCCAGTGTTCATTTTTGTGGTTTGTTTTTTTTTTTCCCCAGTTCTGACAACACTGTAGTTAAATCGCTTTTGCTGCTTTATTCCTGAAAAAAATCCACTATTTTAAAATGGTTAGCTTGGCAGCAAACTGACATGCAAGGTGTTTCTCTGAAACACATGAATTCAAAATCCAAAGGAAATTCCGTACAGATATTTTTCAAGCAGCTGGGTACTGTTAAATTATTATGACAATAATGCTGTGCTCCTCAAAACCTAACGAGAAATGAATAGTATCAAACACTGTTACTAACAGAACAGTTCCTCTAGCACATTGACAGCAGCAACTAAGCTAGTTTGTCATCCTCAATTCTATGTTTAACCCTGGCAAATACTGACTTTGCAGTATCTCTTTTTAAAATAATCTTAAAATCCAATTCAACATTTTCATATGCACACACACACATATATATATACAAAATTTTCACACAACAGCAAAAGAACATGTTTGCAAAAAATAAGTAGTTCTTATCATATGCTAATTTTAATATACCATTAATTCCATTAATTAAAGGAAATTTGCCCTACACTTTATGTTTTAGTGAGGCAAATGAAGGAAGTTCTGCAGGTAACTCAGGTCACCAGCTCTGCCAAGATTTCTCTGGTTCTGTTGTGACACACCCCTCAGCTGGTCAGTCAGTGGTCTATATTGACATGTAACACACACATCAGTGCTGTTTTAGAATACACTGTTACTCACAGCAGTAGGAAGACAACCGACTTTTAGTTCCACTGATCAGTTGTAAAGGATAATTATTCCACAAATGACTATTTATAAAGCCTGAGGCAAAAAATATGATTCTGTTTCTTTGAAAAGAAACTCTGCCAAAGAAATCAGGATCTGATTGTTTTGAAGATCTGTCACGTCATTTAAAAATTTAGATAGCAGTTCCCCATTTTATCTTCATGCCTTCAATTCTGATTTAGAGCTTATCTGCCATGTCTTTTAACTTACCAGCTGCAGCTGATAGAGCTGGTTCAACATCGTCATATGCTGAGGATTATTAATTGGCGAGGTTAACTGTGCAGGGCTGAGACCAATGTTTTTTGCTGCAAACTGCAAAAGCTGTGCTTGAACCTAAGGAAGAGCAGTGTATTAAACATTGTATGTTTGCTTTTAACAGTGACAACTGTGTGAGCCATTCATAAGAGCCACAAAACTTCAGCTGGAATATATTACTGTTACCTGAAATGGTACTGTGAACTATCCAAAAATTAGCAGGGTTATCTTAATAACCATACTCAAAAGTTCATTTACAGAAAAAGAGATGAGAACAAACTGCTTAGAAACACCCACTGTTTGCAAAAAGGAACTCAATGATGTGCCCTCACAAGTAATGTACATAATGTGAGACCATCTCAGCCATGCAACATGTAAATAGATAACAGGGACACAGCCAGGCAGCAGTGGCTGCAAACCTCAGGAGAGGAGAGCATGGAAGAGTTCTAGGCAAAGGGAAAACTTATGAGTGGAAATCTAACCTGAGGGGATAGAAACTGAGGCACTTGAGCACGAAGACTAGGCTGGGATGAATTAAGAGGTTGCACTGGCGGTTGCTGCGGCTGTTGCATGGTCCTGGCTTGTGCTGCTCCGCTATTGCCAAACATACCCAGATTGCCACTCGGTATCTGCAGCAGGACAAGAATGGCACTGGCATGTAAAGACATCACTCAACACATAACCTGGATGTTACTTGTCTGTGCAGTCTCTATTCTCAGTGGTTATGACAGGCACGAATAAAGAAAGCAGCACATACAGACTGTGTTGACAACCGGGTTTAGAATCGGGCACGGCAAGGATTGCCACGTACCCAACATCCCAAACCCCCAAAACTTTGTACAGATGCCTGAACAAAAGGCAGCTGAAGTTGAACATGGCTTTTATAAAGATGCATAGCCCTGGAGGGTCAAGAGATGAACAATGCAAAGTACCTGCCCAAAATGTTTGTATCTGTGCAGCAAGGGAGAATGGAGGCATTAAACTCACAGCAACCCCAACCTCAAGTTAGGTAAGCAGTTTTTGTACTTGATCATTTTACAAAGCTCCTGAAAATGGACATGCTGTTAGTGCAGGCTCTCTTTCAGAAAGATGTGCTTAATGGGCTGGAAGTACTGGACAAGCATTGCCTTTAAAAAACTAACTTTAAAAGAATATACATAAGAAGAGCCACCCTAGAATGACAGACAGCATTTTTCTGTGTTGTTCTTACTTTTGCTAGAACTTCAATTTGATGGCAAGAATAACCTTTTCATAATCAACAGCCTTTACAGCCTCTCAGTCTTATGGTGTTTATCAGTCTTCCACCCCATCTCCTTTCCTTTTCTTTCCCTTTCAGCATGTTCTACCCAAGGGCCAAAACACCCCCCCTTGCCTCAATGCTCCATCTGACCTGGGTGCTGGAAGTCCAGCTTCTTTCTTGCCACCTGCAAAACTATGAGCTGCCTTGATACTTAAAGCAGGAACAAAAAAGCCCCCCTCACTTCTCCCCGTCTCATCACTGAATAATTAAGCCTGCCAGGAAAAATGAACTAGAGCAATGTCTCTGCCTCTGAGTGTGACAATTTGCAATGCCTCAAAAAAAGGGATTTCCATCAATCAAAGCAGAGCCACGCCAGGGTCCAGGGATATAAATTCACAACACTGCAGACTCTTCTTAATGGAAGTGTGTCATTAACAGGCTAATTACAACTAATCAGTTGTTTTATGTCCTATAAGGTGAAACGTTTACACAGCAGGTAGTTCCTCCACTGATATTTCACGTGAACAAAGATGTTGCACTTTCAGTTTAAAGCCGTTTTCCCTGGGGAAGTGACGGACGGGCTCTAGCAGCTAATCCAAGAGAGCTGAAATTCACCTTGGATCTCCCCTGACAGCCTTACCTGTCTAGAAGAATTCAAGTTTTGCATGCCCAGCCCTGAGGCAATCCCGCCCAGGGTCTGATTAGGGAGTGCACTGTTTGAAAGGGGGAGCTTCAGGCTTGGTGAAGGCAAAAATGGTGAAGTAGTGGGCTCTTCCACTAGGCCGCCATCCTGATTGGAGAAAGAAAGGGTGAGCTGTGTGCGGTGCCAGGAGCCGACAGCGCACAAAACAGTGTCCCATGGAGACAGAAAAGGGCATGGATGAATAAAAATATATATATAAAAAAAAGGTATGAATAACAGGGAATGAGAAGCATGGAGTGAAGGGAGAAGAAAGAGAGAAACAGCATTAAGGTACTGTTTTTCTTAACTCGGTTGCTCTTAATCCCCAAATGCACAATCACCCTCACCCACCTCTCCAGAGGAAAGGAGGGATTCTAGCAGACAACTGCAGAGCTATCATGTGGCCATTGCCTTCTCCCCACTTGGATTATCTCCTCTTTTCTCCACCAGATTGAAAGGTGCAAAGGGAAGAGAGCCAGCACATTTCAGGGAAGTCCTCTGTCTGTTTGGAAGACTCTCAGCAGCAGAGTGCAGACATCAGACATACCGCTTTAGCCAACCCAAAACTTGGGAGAGGCCAGATCAGCTTATTTAACATCAGTCTGGATTTGGTTCCACATCATAGCTCTGCTCTTAAAAAAGCATTTTTGCACTAATCCCCTTTCCTAACTGAGACACATGAGCCTCTTTTAATATTCACATAGCGCTGAGTTATTAATACCCACTATGAAACATTACCCTGCACCCAATGAACACAAACCACTTAAACCTAATAATGACAATATCATCTGTGCAGCCTTCCTGAACATCCCCAGGAGGAGGCAGGTTTTAGCAAGGCAGGAGGAGCCCCCTCTGAGAACTGGGCTGCAAGGAACCACGGCTGAGCGTGGCTATGATGCACAGGAGGTAGCCCCCACGGGGGGCAAACAGCAAGGCAGAAAATAAAATAAATTACAGAATCCCCAATCAAACAGGTAGATATCTCACTCGTATTACAGTGGGGCACCGAGTTCTATCTCAAACTGTGCTTTGATGTCTGGGGAGCCTGCGGCAAGCATGATCAAATAACACTGTGTACAAAGTAGGGCTCCGAAAAAACAGGCAGAGGGAAAAATCTCTAATTTGCAATGCGCTGGACTGGGGTTTTTCAGGGGATGTGTTCATTGCAAGGAAAGGCTTTCTGAACAGGTGAGGAGCCTGGTTATTTCAACCTATAAATTCAATGCCCCAGAGGACTGTGAGGTATTGATAAACCTCCTTTGTTCAAAAAGCAGCCCCGTCTGCGAACCAGATACCCAAATAAATGACCTAATGCAGCAAGCATGCTCAGTGAATTTTATGTTCTAAGTTAATGCTGAAAAATGCATTTTCAACAGCTCTCCTTTGATGCAAAGGAAAAGTTTCTTTACTATGAGGCAAAGTGACACTTGACATGTTATCTGACTATCCTGAGGGGGACACTGACATTTTCTAATGATATCCCCAAGGCCTTTCAGCTTGAGATATTTTACATTCTACTGGACATCAGTCACACTCCACAAACAACTGCAGCTTGCATGACAGTAACAGGTTCAAGGATTTCTCTTCAGATCACAGACATATGTTTACAATTCTACCCTTCCCCCTTTAAAGTGAAAATAATTTCAAGCTTGGTGTGTGCTCTCTCCTTTAGATGCCATTGTTTCCTATGTGAACAGACCTACTGACCATGAAAGAGAAATGCAATCCCTCCCTGCCCCCCAAATTTATTCAAGTCTTGTCTCACTGACGTTATTTTTTCTCACTTTTGAAAGAGGCAGTGCCAGAGATGGTGGAGGAGAAGCCACACTGGAGACTCAGGCATTTAATTTCTAGACCAGGCAGACTCCTTCACAAGGGTGTTCCTTTTGCAGCAAATGGCTTTTGTTCAAGTTTATGACACTCTGTTCACATTCATTTGGTTCTCTTTTATTTAAACTGCTGCACAAATCTGTGCTCTGTAACTGAACTGAAATCAATTCATTTAACATAAAGTATTTTAGTTGGTCAACTTAAAATCATTCCCAACCCAGACCAGGGGACACCTTTACTGCTCACAGTGGTTTGTAATCCATTATTTTTCAGGCTCCTTTACATAATATTTGTTTCCTGAAGAGCAATCTTTTCTACCTAACTTTTCCTCTTCAGCGATTTACTTACAAATTTATGTTACATTTCTCCCTCAGGCTAATCAATTAAGCAAATCCTCCACATTGGAATCATCACATTATGCTCAACACAGCACTGCTTTTAACTTTTTTGGAGGGACTTGACACACCTGTAAAATCCTACTGCAGGGTTTGCTACTACAGCAATCCAACACAAAACACCACACTGGTGCTTTTTAGGACTTTGGAAAGTCTCTCACAATACTCTCAAGTACCAAATGTGTCAGAATGGAAGTGGTGTTACTCTAAGGTTTTTTCAGCCCTTTGAGATATAGATTATTTAGCAGACACTTTGACAGTCACCTCCCAACAACTGCCACTTCATGAATCAAAATGCCCCAAACAGAGAGCAAGGCTCATGAATTTTGTCAGAGGTCTTTATGCTAAGTCAGTAACAGAAATAGGGGGTAGAAAATACACACTGACTTCTTAAAAAAAAAAAAAAAAGTTTAAAAAAACCCCTTTTCTAAAAGAGGAAGGTAAAGTAATAAAATCTCATCTCAAAATAGGTTCTCTTCAAATCAGACAGGAGTAAGGTAGAGCCAAAAGAAACTTGGAGGAAATGCAATACTCAAAAGAAATACTCATTATACAGGGGAAGATGAAAGTGGTTTCAAAGTCTGCAAGTTCAAAAAAGGAACAGCCATCAAATCATAGGAAGCAGAGATGAAGGAAAGAAGAATTTTAAGTCAAGCTTAAAATTCTGGCAATTATTATCTAATTGCCAGGCCTTAAAAAGCGTTTCTGCATAATAACAAAATATCCTGTTTATTGCCCCAATGACAAAAAACAGTCACAGTCACCAGAGATTACTGGGATCAGAATGTGAAGGATGAGGTTGGAAAAAACCAACAAATATGATGTTTCAATTAGAAACAAGAAAAATGTCTAGTCATAAGACTTTTACAGTTAAGAGGCATCAAGACTTGTAGACCTGGATCTCTCAGTAGTAGAAAGGAAGAGCTCATCAATGAATAAGACAGTAGAGAAAAGGAGACTTCATTTGTAAGGTGAGAATTTCAGAGTCTCCTGTGTGCTCAAGAATCTGGGAGAAAGTTTGGAAGCAGCATCAGGGCAAAGTATAAGATAATGTGGTTGAGATCATGCATCAGGGCTGCATCTTTATTTCTTCCAAGCCACTGGATTTTCTCCCTTCTCATGTTATGCTCCTACAGGTCAAGATAACACCCTGAGAAATAAAACAATTAACAAAGCACCAAGTGCCAAAGATTGACTCAGTGTGACACGGAATAAAGAGCACCTGCAGCAAGCACTGAGGAACAAGAGAAAGCAAACATTCAAAGGTGATGGTGAGTTGTACAGATCACTACTGATTCAGGGAGAAGAGGGAGTTCAGAGGGTCCAGAAGCAAATGTCAGGGGTGGAAATTCTCCCTCCTCAAATGCATAAGGTTAAAAAAAAGTTAAGTGCTGGCTTTACCTGTCAGAGAAAATGCAGGAGAAAAATGATGGAGTCTCAATGCAGGTGAGCTGAGAGAATCAGTGAGAGTGTGGTAGCAATGAGCACACAAACCCAACCTAAAACTTCATGAAGAGGAACCTTGCAGAACTCACTGAAGACTCTGCAGAGCCAATAAAAGGATAATGACTTGCTAAGGCAGTAAGTAAAACAGGGAAAGTTGGCTGGAATGCTCTGTCCAGCTGTGCTGAGAGCTTGTTCCTCACAAGGATGATCTGAGCAGGAAAGGAAACAGCTCCAGACTCATGCTCTGGAATACTACCACAAAGGGCAGAAAGCCTTTGGGGAAGAGGAGTTGCTCTATTAGCATGAGCTGCAGAACTAGAAAGAATTTCTTTGGAGAAAAAAAATCTGTTCTTCAAGTAGGAACTATATTTATTTAATTCACTTAACAAGTTGCTCAACACTGTGATAGCTAACAAATACAGTGTGGGATTATTTCCTTTTGTTATAGCAAAGTCACTGTGACAGATTATGCCTAGACTGAAAGATTTTACTTGCTGTATGAATATTAATGATTTTAGTACTCCCTTCTCAATAGTTGTGTTTAACATATGTTTCCATAATTATGCATCATGCTGCACATAATGCACCTCTCTCTCTGGCAATAATTTTACTGCTGAAGATATTGTTATCCAAGAAAAGGGAAGGTTAACTGGCATGCATGCATGCATCTCTTGGCCTTCAATTAACATATTCGTTTAAGTTTGCCATAGCTAAGAATGAACTTTATATGACTAGGTATCATTTCTGCCTCACATCCTGTACACAGCTTCTGCAAAATGAATTGGTTTCAGCACAGTTTGTGAAAAGCACCAATTTATGTGTTCAGAATCTACCACCACCCATCTGTATGAACCTCTGGATAACCTGTGACACACAGACCTGGCATGTGAGATTGTTCTTTCCTTATCAATAATTTTCAGGGGAGTTCTGGGGTGATTTAGTGGGACTTTGCATCAGATTGTAAACCTCATTTTGTACTGAACATCTGGCAGCACTTTTCTCCATATTCTTTTCTTTAGTCACTTTGAATTTTGGACACCACAAACTTGTGGAGCCTCCTCTTCAGTCATTAAATGGTGCTGTGAAATTTGTCATATGTGACCAGAGAAAGGGAAGCTCATTGGAGAAGCTATTTCTGACTGTGCGTGTCTGCTCTGAGACTTAACAAAAATACCTCAGCTTCTTTCCTATTTAGGTACTGAACTTTCACTGAAATCTATAAGAAGCTCAAAACTGAAAGAGGAATTAAGAGCCTAATTCGTGAAGATTTTGGCCTTAGTCCTGCCTGATTGTTAATGTGGGCAAGGGTAAGGGTCACTGACTGTCTGGACCCTCACAGAGTGAAAGGATTTCTGTGCTTCGTTTCTTTGGTGTTTTCCACTTCTAGTTTCATTGTATTACTGATTCCCTGAGAAGTTTTCAAGTGTAAAACCGGTGATGACCATTGTTTATTTCTATGTGGGAATCAAATCCCTGGTCCTTCACGCAAGGACCGAATTATTCCCCGTGAGATTAAATAAAGACCAGAAAAGGAATAAAGCCATATCCATCACACTTCTCTCTATGCCTTCTACACAGTGCACACCTGGACTTGTGTATGACATTCCTATTTCTGAGCTCACCTTGTCAAGGAAGGTGGGGCGGTCCATGGAAGACTCTTTGGAGATTGGTGGTGGGCGGCAGCCAAGGGGTTTGGTGACCATTCCATTATAGTCGGTCACTCCCATTCCACGCTTGTCCATTTCCACCTTCTTTTCCAGCAGAGCACCTGCACAGAAAAGGAAATTATATTGGAAAAGGTGACACAGAGACAGTATAAAGTTGCCAACAGTAGTTCTGAGTAGTACATCTTGCTTGCAAAGGCAAAAGCAAGAAAATAAATATTAGCCAATTGATCTGGATGTAATGAAACTCTCGGAATCATGAAAGGTTCCTCTGTTGCTTTAAAGACAAAAAAAAATTACTTACACAGATACTTACTCATGGCCTGATCGAGATTCATACTGTTGCTCTTCAAGGCCTCTTCCGCTGGCTCTCTCTGTCAAAAAATATGAATTATGTTAAGAAAAAAGGTAATTGCACTCATAGGATTTCTAAGCAACCTGAGAAAACAGATAAATCTCTTAAACACTGGATCTAATATTTACTCTGCAGCCTAAATAATGTCTGTGTGTATTTTTTTTTCTCCTTTGGGCGATTCTCACAACTCAGTTGTTTCAGTTTGCCAAGTACCAGCTCTACGAGGTCAAACCACACTGCTCTGTTTAAACTCTTCCCTTTTCCTACAGACAACTTAAATATCACAATGATTTTTCTCTTAAAAAAAAAATCCAGCTATACTCTCATTTTACCTGTTTAATAAGAAAAGGGGAACAGGAGTGGAATTATTACTGCAGTTCAAAGCAATACCTGTTGTCATAAAACTCTGAACATCAAAATATTATAAATGCCATCACACAAAGTGTATCCTCCAGTTGATTTCAGAGCACTTCACTAGTTTACAGCAGATTTCTGAAGTCAAAGTGCAGGTAACAGAGCTGCTTCCTGACCTGAAGAAGAGACTGAAGGTCTTTTTGTACCTACAGTCTGAAACAAATCAAGCCAGAACTATAAGCTACCAAGGCTAAGTCAGGTGTCTGTCTGAGCACTACTCACAGGGAAGCCCATGTCTGTGAGCTGTTTTATCAGACGGTTCATGATCCAGGCCTCATCCTGCTTGCTAGATGTCTTCATGCCCTTAGTAAATAAATGGGACACTGCATTAATGGGCTGGTTTCCACCTTCAAACTAGTGAGATGTACATAGAAGAAATGGTAAGTGTTTTTTATTAATAACACATGCTACTGAAAGATGTATTAGTACATTAATTCAGAAAGTATTGAAGAACCCTCCGAGCAACGCGACTACGATTCTCTTCCCCCAAAAGTGTAACAAATTTTATCTCAGCTGAATAAAGTTCAGTGTACTATTTAATATTTGATTTGTCGACCACTGAATTAAAACCACCTTTGAATTTACATATTTCATTTTAATCCTTGGCAGAAAAACGTAATGAAATAAAGCCGAAATAGTACAACACTTCCTGAAAAACATTCCCAAAAACAAGTTTGCGACCTTGAAGTTAAGAATGTTACTCAGTGTATTTTCTTAAAAACAAACAAGAGCGTCTAGATAAACACCTTTAAAAGATCTCTGTGCAGCTTTTCTATCACAAAATCCTTAAGAAGTCTCTTCCTTTCAGTTCTCCAGAAAGTACCAAGGGACAAGCGCGGATTTGTTTTGGGCTGCGGACAGTACAAGAAACAACCATACTTGATCAAATCACCGGCCTAACTGTTGGCTAATGGAACAACAAACAAAGTGGCTAAATGCATTCCCAATTCCTTTAAGTTACAGCCTGGCCTTGTCCTGAAATAAAGATTGTGCAATGGGAAACTTCCTCACACAATTTTCTACGTTCTCGGTTGAGTGCAGCATTAATACAAGTTCGCTTTGTTCTCACACACACACACACCCCGTACAGTTATCTGCTGGTTCCTCACAAACAGAAAACAGCTGGTTTTGTTAAACAAATCCATCACAAACTACTGCTTTCCCACCACCATGGGAAGTGACTGAAAGCCCCCTTAACACCTTTTTTTCTTTCTGTTAATACATTTTCATTTTAGAATACATGGAAGCTTAGAAAACTTAAAAAAAACAAAGGCAACAGCAACAAAACTCCCAAAGCATCTGACATGCTTAAATTCAAAGATCTCCCATTTCCCCCTGGAAACAAGGTAGGCTGTACTTGAACCACTGTAGTGGCAAGCTGTGCTTGGGTTCAGGTGTCAGAGATCTAATTTCAGGTGTAATGCAACAGCAAACTTGTGACAACTTATTCTACAAATGTTAATACTAAATCCACTCTTCCTAGAGAGTGTCTTTATTTTTGTTTTACCTTTTGAAGTCCTTTCTTCGGGGCATTCCCCCAGGAATTACAGGAGGAGCTGCTCTCTTGTGAAGCAGTATTATTCCACATATCTCCTTCTTCATCTTCCCACTGACTAGTACTGAGATTCACTTCATCCCCACCACTGCCCCAGCCTTCTTGCATAGATTTTGAAGCTGGAGGGAAAGAGGGAGAAGAAAAATTCTTAATTTTGCAGAAATATCCTTTTGTGCCATATTCATTGTGCTAACAGGAGTATTTCCAAGAGACACAGAGGTTTATCAAATAGTTTAACTGGCATTAAATGATAAGGATGTCTTCTCTGAAGCTAGCAAAAAAGAAAAGTTCTCTAAATACTTAGAGAAGAAAAAAATCCAGCAACCACAAGGCCTGCTTTCCCCCAGAACAAGCAAGATCTGTGGTCATGGCCACTCCAGTCTCCTAGGAACAGGGAACCAAACTATGACCACACACTTGTTAAGTGCTATTTTGCTTTCAACGAATCTCACCATTTTAGCTGCCACATTCTTCCGACGAACAAACCCAAATTTCGAGGTCATTAACGGTCAGAAACTCACTCCCATCTCGGAAGAATGGAGTCTGAAAGGAGCTGCAGGGAACCTCATCACCTATTCAGTGATGAGGTTGTGTCCCTGCAGTCCATTTTATTCTGTTTACTCTGTTTAAAGCTGGGATTACTCATCTTAAGACCTCTCGCTTCTCCTTTTATGTGTTCTGAGCCTTCTATCTCTCCCTCAATAGGGTATTTTGCAGGAGTGAACTTCAGGCAACTCCCACAGCCAAAACAGAAGCCAAAAGCAATCACTGTAGCCTTCAGGGCATTCAGAGATAAAGGATTTTTATCAAATAACATGAGTTAGGAATCATGAAGCAGGAAGTAGTTCGGGATGTTCCTGAACCTGTGAACAACTGTAACAGCTGAAGAAAATACCCACTCCCTGAAGAATGACCCAACAGTGAGGTTATGACCCAACAGTGAGGTTATAACTAGCTGCTCTCAGGTGTTGCTTTTCTTACCAGAATCAGTCCTACTTTGGCTGAACTCTGCTGCTTCTCATCCCAATTACACTTCTTTAGGCATCTAGTCATGTTCTTCTGCATCTCTACCATACTGCTTTCCAAGTACACAAAATTAACTCTCCTTTAAATTTACTGGACTGATGCACTATATTCATATTTTTGGATTAATTTGGTACCTGGAGTATCGACAGTTAGAGGCAGCTTTGAGAACGAAATTGAGACAGCCTCTGATTTCAGCACACAGAAAACCAGAAGCTCTGTTTAAAAACTGCTGGCAGAAACAAACCCACTTTCCCCGTCCTCTCCCCCAACCTCTGAGTGTGTGACACCCACGTGTGTACCTGGTTTGCACAGTGCTGGGGCAGCAGCTGGAGTGTTTGTTCTTCCGTATGTCCCTGCTGGCTCGGCAGGATTCTCTCCCCACCCGGTCCCACTGCTGGGGGGTTTCCCCCACGCCGAAGTGCCATTATCAACTGCAGCAGAAGGGGACGAGGGCTCTCCCCAAGAAGCTTCGGTCTTTGTGTGGACAGCAGGCATCTCTCCCCAGCCTGCTGGAGCAAGGGAAGGAGAACACTGATGAGAGGAAAAACTCCTTTTGTCACTCATTTCAAAGGTGGACATTTCACTAAAGAGTTTTTCTGCAAAGGACGTGAACCAGTAAGCACACGCAGTGATTCTAATTAAGTGTATTAAAAAAAAAAATCCCTTAGATGCGGTCCCAAAAGTCTTTTTCTTAATTGAATACTAACACCAGGTGGCCAGGGCAGAAAGTGGGTTTTTTCCACAGCCAGGAGCAGCCAGGTGAGCAGCACACCTGATCCCAAGGAGCAGCTGCTTCAAACGTGACTTCTCAGAGCGGCTTAAACAGGGCTCAGGGAGCACAGGCAGCAGGGCCAGAGTCCAGGAGACCCAACCCGAGCCAGGCCTTGATTCACTAAAAGATTTAAACCTATTTTAATTCCTTTTAACTATTTACAAATTATAAAATCTCTTTTCTTGTGCCCTGTGAGATGCTATTTGTTTGTTATTCCGGCTCATGGTTGACTCTGCTCCCTACATACCCCTTCAACACTGAGACTCTACATTGTAATAAATATAATTTTTTAGGGGAACTAGACAAGACTGCAATCAGGATCCACAGTCAAGCCATGAGGAACAGCAGGTAGAAGTCACTGTTTTCCTAAAGGGTATTGCATTAACTCACTGAAAGACGTAAGCTACTGTGCAGAAACAGCCTTAGTCTGGCTTGGCTTGAATGTAATGAGCTTACATCCATATGACACCATTTCAGCCCTGAAGTTGAATGTGGCAGGAACAGCCATGCAGCTTCTGAGGCCTACAGAGCAACCCTGACCAACACAGCAAAAGGGTAAATTGAATTTACAACTATCATTACCAGAGCTTTTTCTGAAGAGAGAACTTGGATCACAGATGGAGTTCGAGGTACTTTCTAAATATATACAAAAGAGATGCATAACAAGCAAGAAACCAAGAACAGATACCTGATATTAACCTATTTTTCCACAATTATAAAAAATTGCATCCCATTACATGACAACTGAGGTCTCGACAAGTATTACAGAATTCAGTCTGCTTAAAACTTCCCCTGGTAATTAGGCTGCTAATTCAGGAACTTGTTCTCTTTTAACTGGAGACAAATATTATTAAGACAGGTATTTTATAACTGAAGAACTAAATGCCTACTTTGCCTCAGCAGTATTCCTTTTTTGCTCCCCAGTGCTCTATAAAAATGTTCTGGAAAGGTTTCAGAGAGCAGGAACAACGTTTTCTCCACAAACTGACACTTAGAATAGGTAGACGATGGCAAGGAAATCACCACAAAAAAACTATATCTAAGAATACCTCAAAATAATTTGAACTAACCATTTCACTAAGCAACAAGTCTTTGCAGAACTCACTGATTTCCACAGAATTTCTGTTACCAGAAACTGGAGCAACATTCACTGCCAATAACAACTCAAATGTTGGCCAGCAGAGAAAAAAAAATTCCTTTCAAATAGATGTGCTCAGATCTGTCCATGGCTCCAGTGTTCCCATATTAGATATTTATTTTAGGTTCTATTCCTTGAAGCCACTGCAGCTCTCTCAGACACTGATCAAAGTGCAGATGGCACAAAACCATGGTGACATGTTCAGGAACAAACAGCTTAATAAAACTCCTTCACTACCAGCAAGATTCACTCTGTTTTAAAGCATACTCCTGAAACAACCCAAAATGTCACTGTTTCATTAAAGTGATTTCTATTTGAAACAAAAAAATACTGTGGTTTAGGCTCTATCAATGTTATTTTAAGGTGTGTAAAGAAGATAAACTGGCAGATCCACAGATGTATCTAAATGAACCTCTGCTTAACACGACAGCTTCCCTGGTGCTGCACCTGAAATACTCATTTCAAGGTTTCTGCTTGTATCTTCAAGCCAACTTTATTTGAGGCAAGTTTTATTTGAATTTCTGCCTCACTACTCAGGAGGCAACTGGAAGACAACTGCGTGTATTTAATCATATTGGCAGCTGAAAAAGATTAACTGCAGGCAAATGAAATAGAAACAAAACATCTCTACAGCACCAACCAGACTACAAGCAGAGACAGTGCAGAATACTAATATTTCCTTGAGTTCATGCAAACTATACTGGAAAGTCTACCTAATTCATTTATGAAATCAACCTTAAAACACAATTCATATATTAAAAAGCCAAAGTGTGCTACATTATAGAATAAAAGCCTCAAAAGAACCGTTCCTGCTGTTGCTTTTTACTATAAATTCAACAACATCGATTAAAGGCCACAGGTCTGTAACGTCCAAGTTATTTTAAGTGCTTTTGAATTCACTGAGCAGTAAATAATACAGGATTACAAATAATGGAGGAACCAGCCTTTACTAAATGAGGGTAATGCAAATACATAAAAGCAAACTAAACAAACCAACAAAAAGGTTTCAAAACTATCTTACCAGATCAAATTAAGTGGAGGAAATTAGTAAATAAAACGTGAAGGCTGCTGGAGAAACCACCTGTGCACTGCAAGAATGAACCTGTATGTAATTCTGAACTGCAAACCTGTTTCCTCTCTGTGTAAGTACCTGCTGTCCCAACGTTATTATCTCTGTGCTACCTTTTTATGACTCCATATGATTCTGTTTTAGAAACTCTGAAGGTGAATGTAGTTACATTTTTGAATGAATGATGCAAAACCCTACGTGGCCTCAAAACCTGAACCTGGCTAACATTTTCCAACAATTCTGCTTGGAGAAAACTTAATAACTTCTTTATGAAAATAATATGCTTTAGGCTTTCTCAAGGAAAAGCTCCTTAAAACCACCCCAGATCTGCACGAGTGTTGTTTTGCAACAGAATGAGCTCCATTAAAGGCTTCTTTGGCAAGAAAGTGAGGTTTTGGTACTGAAGTTTTTAAACACTGTTAGAATTGCAAGAAACAAAAAGATCACAGTGAGTAATAAACATGGACACATTGGCAGAGCTTTGTTTTATAGAAATAAAAACATAATTAACATTGGGCCACAGCCAACAGGAAATCCTCAAGGGAAAGTGAAATGTTAACTAAGCTGTGGCAGGATGCAGTTGTTTTCCCTCAAAATAACCCTATAGCCATTTGGATGGCAGAAATTGTTTTCCTTGAAGTTGTTGGTCCGTGATAAAGAGCAGATACATGACTACAATACAGGCAAACCAAAATATTAGGACCTTATGTAGATAAAAAAAGAAGAAATCAGGTAGAAAAGAGATTGTTTACTAATTAGACACTAGTCTGTTAATAGAAGAAATTAAGCTATAAGGTGTGCATGTACAAGGGAGGGGTTCATATATATATAAATAAACATATATATTTAAGAGCCACTTATAACCCTTAACTTTTCAAATCTTCATTTTCTTGAAGGGATTCCAGTTCATGCAGTGGAACTCCATGATTCCTTGTACCTCTCAGCATTCAGGAAGCTTTAATTTGGGTTTCAGCAGTGAGATCACTCTTGTGTGAAAATCAAGGGCAAGGTCTCTCATCATCACCTGGCTGCTCCCCAAAAACCTGGCTGTTCATGGGCTGAGCTCCCACAACAGGGTTTTAGGTTTTCATGAGCATCCTAACTGAGCCCAAAGCTGAGCTGGTTTCAAATGCATTCTGATGGAAGTTCAAAGTAAGGAAAACACATCCCTTGCACCCTGCATTTCACATCAATCACAGGCAATGGCTGTCACGAGTTACCACTGAGACAGTGGCACAGGATTACAAAAGGAACAGAGGTGTCTGGAGCTTTCAGATCTTAGGCCTGGGTAAGATTTTTAAAACTTAACCTTATTGCTGTCTAGGAATCACAAAGACCTTAATTTTTGACCTAAACCCCCCACAGGGAAGCCTGTATCATCTTTTGCTTTTTCTTTCCTCAGCTGGAGGATGGGTGGTTGGAACCCTGCCAGGCTCTCACAGCCTAATGGGAACAGGAAAGCATCAAGCCCACTCCTCAGCACTTGGAGGAAGGATCTGGTGCTGTTTGGGATCCAAAAATCTCTTTTAATCATTCCTGTTTGAAAAACCTCTTCTCGCTTCTTATTCCCCTTGTATCAAAGCCACACAAAATAAAAGTGCTGGGAAGAATTATGCAAAAGTAATTTAGATTAAAATCAAATCTAACTCAAACCCACCAGCTTCCTGCTCATCTTCCTAAGTAACTCACTGGAGGTTTGGGACTAAGCTCCTAGAACCAGAAAGGACTACATCTATCACATCATCTATCCCCTTCCCCCTCTTTTTATTTCTTCTTTTCTAATAGAAGAAGAAACTCCTTAGAGCATTCTGCATTTTCATCAAGTGTGTACCAACATCTGCTTCCCATCAATAGCTTTTAAGTTCTGTGTTCAAAGAATCTGGAGAACTTCTGGGGATGGGTGACAACTTGAATAACAAGACTGTAACTTGGCCTCTACTTCTAAACTAAAAAAGCATAAACTTCAACCCTAAAGGGGACTGCTAATCCTTTGTGAACCCCTAGCTAGTGCTGTACAGCAAAATTAAAATCCACTTTTTTGCTTTCAGGATGTATGACTGTGACATCTTACAGCTGCACCACCTTCCCTACTTACAGAGGAACAGAATCCATGATTCCTTATTCACTCTACTCCCTGAATGTGACTGGCAAAGCACTTCATGACCCATGCAGATGAGAAAATGCCCATGGTAACTACACAGTCCAAGTGTTGCAAGATTTTAGACAAGCACTTAACTGTGCCCTATGGCACAACCTCTCATGGCACGATCATGTTTTGCATGGAAATACTGTACATGGAAAAAAACTGTTGCTGGATGAAATTTGGTTGTGCATTACTGAAGTCTATTTGTTACAGGATTCCTGTCTTCCTTACTGCAGATGCTGGAAAAGCAAAGCCAAGTGGAGAGGGAACTGGAGTAGGAAAAACTACGGTTAAACAGCATGACTCCAAGCTGCAGGTCCCCGTCTGTGTGGGAGGGAAGACACTCACTACTTGCTTCCCATCTTTTAGCTGTCCCAGATGGGAGATGATTTGTAGATGTTTTAAGTCTGTGTAATTTCCACACAGACCAAGAGGATATTGCTCTGCAGCTGCCCTGCCACTGGGGAAACTGGGCCCCCTGCACTCCGGATGGGAAGTTAATGGGATCACTTGAAACTGCAGTTTTTGCTCTCTGAGTAAGATAAGCACAAGGCTGGTCCTTCTTGGGCACAGCCACCAGTAAACATGGGCAGAACACCTCGAGGCTCAGGGGACTGCTCCTCGCTTCCATTTGCAGATTAGACAATAATCCTTTAAAATATTCCCTTGTTTGGCCTTTATACCTGTACCTCTGTACACAGTTCTAAGTATATGGAACAAAAATACACAACAAAAGGCCTAATTTATTCCTGGAGCAGCTTGACCTCAATTTTAATATCAGAACTGTATTTTGAATTGTTCTCACTACTGCTCATTTTATACTTCCTTGCATGCTGACTTCAGTGTATTCTGAGAGCTGGCTTTGCTTATCTTAAAACATTAAAAAAATATATTTTTCTTAGAATCTTTCCAATTCACATTTTACAAGATGCCCAACACTGTACCTTTAACCTGGTCATGAGGCAACTTGAGCAGGAGGTTACAGATTCATAAGCAGTTCTCCAAGTGTATAAACATATTGCTTCAATGAAACCCCTCCTTTGCTACTGTCCATTCTCCAGAGGAATCACTGCAGATTAACACCAAATTTTAAACTCCCTTTTCAAAATCTGAAAGACTCAGAACTGTAAGATTTCCTCTGCAAAGTGTTAAGATTATTTAATAGCATTAACAATGCATTGCTGTGTATGAACTGTTTTACATGCACCAAGGTAATCCTCCAAAAATCATCTCAATGAAAAACAAAACCTCACTTAAACCAATCAAAAATTCACCTCCATGACAGCTCCATTACAATTCAGAAATCTGAATTCTTGTTCCATGGGTAAAGTTTTAAATATGGATGAAATAAGTTTAAAGAAAATTAATTATCAATCACGTATGTTGAACTGACCAAGTACAAAGCTATTTAAAGATTCCTCCTTTGGGAGCACATATTATTTTATTAAATTTTTTATTAAAATAACATGTGTTCCAATAACATGTGCCTCAACTGTTGAAATATTTGACCAGAGTGGGGAACACAAGACTATTTTTACACAGTCATTAGAGTAAATTTGAATTATTTCACAACATCAAAGAGAAAACAGTTGGAAATGAGAGAACAAATCCCACTTGGAAAAAAACGTGGTTAAAAAGAGAGTACTTAGTCATGACCAAGATGGAACAAAAACCTGGAAACAAAAATCAGATGAAGAATTTGTAACAGCACTGCAAGATTAGATTAATCTTGGAGAGGTCTGTGATCATGACACAGATCAGGGTTGCTGGTGTTAACTTTTATTTAAATACCTCCTTTTAAAGCATTTTTCTCATTTTAATTCCTTGCTGATTGTCCACAAGAGTACCTGTCTTTGATTAGAAAAATTCCTAGATGTCTAAAAACTTTTCTTTGGAGCACAGCCGAAGCTAGAATAACTTTTCCCAGCCACCCTGAATATTAACATGTTTAGCCAATCCTGCTTTACGAGAATCACACAAAATCCAGGGTACTGCCCATGCCCTGAGGTAGGGAGGAGAACCATTCCTTCATAACAGACAACAGAGAAACAGCAAAAACCTGAATTCATGCAACTGTTAACAAACATGTGTTGCCAAGAGAGATGGTTTGCAGCAGAGAAACAGATGCAGACTATCTAAACATGAACAGAGTCCATCCAACAAGAACAGGAGACAAATAAGAGAAGAAAGGCTTGCCAAAAGACCCCAAACTCTCAAATTAAAAGTAATTGGGGAAGAGATGCCAAAATAAATATGGGTCCACCATCCAAGAACCTTCCAGGTTATTGACCAGGCACTGTTTCAAGCCTTTCTTACATTCACTTGGACTATGGAAATTTGTGTCGAGCCCTGTAAGTTCTGTCCTCAAGATGAGACGTTAAAACAGCCTCAGAGTAAAGAAATAAACATATTCTACGACATAAATACAGGATTTCTACCTTTGACACGCCAACCTCGCACTGACAGGACAGACAGCATTCAGTTAAGTGGTACTGGTGTAAAGTACTTGGTAAAACTATAAAATCACTTATAAAAACTATTTTCATACCTGGGCCAAGCAGCGGGGACCGGTTCGGCTGGGCACTTGGCTGGTGCGATGGCTGAGGTTCAACCATGTTGGTGTTGATAATGGTGCTAGTGGTGGTGGTGTTGGTTGTGGTACTGCTCTGAATTATAGGATTATTTCTATCCCACATGTTTACAGTCTTGTTGTTGTTGTAATTTGGGTCGCCCCAAGCTGAGGTACCGTCATCGATTTCCATCTTGCGGCGAATGGACGGTGGCGATGGCTCTTCCCAGCCAGTTGCCTCACAGTTCTCTTTTTGTTTGGCTGGCACTGGCCCACCAACCCACCCTGACCCCGTCTGTTTTACAGAAGCAGCTCCTCCCCAGTTACTCACATTGTTGTCCTGGGGTTTATTAGCCCAATTTTGTTGGGGGCCTGGCTTTAAAGATTCCCCCCAACTTGTACCTGTATTAGCCTTGCTGTTTGTGCCATTTCCCCACCCACTGGTCCCAGACCTTGCGGAATCATTCCAGCCAGACCCCGATCTATTGTCAGAATCCCATCCAGATCCATTCTTCTTCCCATCACCCAAGTGTCCAGGAACAGATGATGAATCTGTCCAGTCTCCACCTCCTGAAGTCCAGCTTGGATTTGATTTCTGTCCATCTCCCCAGTTTTGAGATTTGGGTTTCTGAGGTTCACCCCAGGTAGGTGATTTGTCCTCCTGATTTGCGGTCCCACTCCAAGCGTGGCCGCTTTTGGCAGCAGCAGCATTATTAACAGTAGTAGAGCTTGCTGACTCTCCCCACCCCCCCGGGCCATTTGGTGCTTTGTTGTTATTGTCTCCCCAACCTGTGTTTGTTGGAACAGCTGCCGGTGGAGAGTTGACCCACCCAGATACTGAAGAGGTATTTGTACTGTTCATGATGGACCCATCGTTCTTCCCCCCTGAGTTTGAAGATTGAGTAGCTGCACAACCCCAGGCCTCTGTTCCATTGTCATTCTTCCGTTCAGACCTTGGGGACTCTTCAAATTCCCAGGCAGTGTTTTGCTTTACAGGGGTCTGTCCCCACCCTGTATTGGACAGGACCCTGGGGTCAAGGTCATTTCTTGGCAACTGAACTTGCCCTTGGTCTATCATCCCTTTGTCTCTCCTCCTGCCCTCTCCAGCCCCCTCCCTCCCAGTACTGCCTTCATTTTGACTCCCACCGCTGTCGTTGCTTCCTTCACTAGCCGTGGTGCCAGATGCTGCAGCTTTGGCCCAAGAGTTCATTTGTTCATTGCCCTGCTGCATGGCAGGGTTCGGACTGGTAACACTAGAGCTATCCCACCCTGTTGATCCTTTCCCATTGATGTCGCTATTGGAATGCTGGTTTGGGGGCTTGCCCCACTCCCCGTTGACACCGTTGCTGGTGTTACGGTTGGGGTGGCCCCAAGCTCCAGAATGCACACCACCAACACCGCTGCTGCCACCGCCCCTGCCCCACGCCAGGACCCCGGGACCGGACGGAGGCCCCGAATCCCACGCGTTCGCTCCGTTTCCTTCCTTCTGCACAGCACTGCTGGATCCGTTTTGTTTAGCACTTAATGCTGAGTTCACAGTGTCTCCATTCCCCTGACTGAACCCAGAATTGCTGTTTCCTGTGGCAGGATTACCTGGGGACATCCCCCACACTGAACTGCCCATTCCTTCACCACTGCCCCCGCTGACTTGAGAAACCGATGTTCCGTTAGCACCAGGAAGGCCTTGCAGGTGGGGCGGGATGATGGCCCCCATGCCAACAGCCATCCCCCAGTTCGGCAGTCCGTTTGTCTGCATTGCATTGATAGGGTTTGGTGAAGAGTTCATGGGGTTAGTGTTATTTGGTCCATCAGTGTTAAGGTTCTGAGGTTGTACGCTGAAAGACACATTCTGAGAAGTGGACGTTTGTGGTTCTGTGCTCTCTTGCGGCAGCAAGTTTCCCCAGGCACCCAAGGTGCCTGTTGGGTTCCCATTCTGGTTGCCCATATTCTGACCTATGGCACTGACTGGACTGCAAATACTGGAAGGGTTGCCTGCTCCCACAGTTCCTTCATGTCCAAGTACAGGCCAGGCAGCTGGATTGGCATTAGGGTTAAGGTTAAGATTAATGCCAGCATTCGAGTTGGAAGCACCCCAGCAGTTCTGACTTCTACCGTCTCCCATCATGTTGTCCATCTTTCCATCCCCACCACTGGCAGAGCAGTGAGCTAGGCCAGAGCTGGAGCCCGCAGCCACCCCCCACACCCTGGCCGAGCTGCCGTTGCCGTTTGCTCCACCAGCTCCAAGGGCACTCTGGTTAGAAGTGCTTTGGACGAGTGCTCCGTTGGCGCCATTATTGCCATTAGTTTTCTTTGTATGTCCAGTGAAGTTGCCTTGGGCACTCCCTGTAGCCATGCTACTGTTCTCTGAGCCACAGTTGGAGGCAGAGTCAGTGTCTGTAGTACATTCTGAGGCAGACTCAGTCTCAGCTCCGGTTATGGAAGGCCACGCTTCCTTGTCAGTCCTGTCTATTATCACTTTATCCCAGCTGCAGTTGCCTTCACTCCTGAAAGCGGGCTGCTGTCCCCAGTGGGAATTCTCATAATGGTCTCCCAATCCACTGTGGCTGAGATCTGAAAGGATCCAAGGTTAAAAATGAGTCCAGTGTTCAAGCCCTGCAAAACCCCTCTATTAAGTACTGTCTTACATCACTAGTTACAACACTACATTCTGCTGAAATCTAGAGAACATTCTCTAACACAATGCAGCGATTTTCCCCACCACAATAGAGCATGATGCTCATATTAATTTGTTTCTCTTTTCAATCTGGAAAAACTCTCAATTAAAATAATGAAACAATCCCATTTTAGAACAGAGGAAGTGTTTCATAGCCCTCAGTGTACCAGTAAAAATAATAAGCAGGCAAGAAAATAAGGTGAGCAAATACACTAATCCATGTGAAGAATCTAAAAAGCAAATCTGGAAAAAACACAAACAAGTATCTAGCAGACTCTTGCCATTTATTTTGACTCAATTCTCGTTCTTTAGGGAAACACAAAGAAAAAGCATCCAATAAAAAAATGTAAAAATGTCTGCCTGCCATGAGCTATTATTACATACACGCACTCCCACATCACATTTAACACACTACATTCATACTGCATTTAGGTTTTCCACCCTTCCTTTAAATAAAGAACAAATATAGACAAGGACCTTTATTGTTAGGTGCCAATTATTTTATATTTTATACCACTATTTTACATTTCAGCAGAGAACTTGGGCATCTCTAAATAAGAGACAGTTTTGTCAAGAAACTTACCTCTCAAAGGTTTTACATGTGGTTTAAACATTCCTTTGCACTTGTACACATAGTCCTATTTCTCCCCAACCCAGTGAAAAGCGATGTTGTGCTGGACAGATATCCCAAAAAGCCTTTTCAGCACTGTCACATCCTCACAGATGCTAATTCAAAAAATTAAACAAAAGCTTTTGAGTATCTACTTGCTCGCTAGGGTATGAAGCTAAACTGGGAGGCACAACACATCTCATGCTAAGACCTCAAGCTTTGGTCAAGTTTTTGCATTTACTTTCCATCCCCATTGCTCTCTACAAGATTATTCCTCTTAGTTTCTTTTGATGGGAATTTGATAGCAAGTAATTCAACCTGATCCAAGGGATCCATACTGGAGACAATCTCCAGAAGAGTTCCTCTCAACTGGTTGCATATACCAATGTAACAAATTTTGGAAGTCAGTTGTTTTTACTTGCTGTAAATCTGCCAAAACCTGACTTTCATTCTTCGTTATTTGAATTAAATGCATATTTTTGTGGGGAAGATGGACATCATAAATCTCCCAAACAAGCTTTTACCAGCAGATACCTAATATGTATTAAATCACAAACATTTTGGTGTCATCAGGTCTTCCAATTAAAGGTGTTCTGATACTGCAAAAAATTTTTCCAAGTTTAGAAAAAGTTCTCTCTCTGTTTGACAAAGTCTTATTCACACATTTCACCTGTAGCTTTTCAAGAGAGGGGGGGTGATAATTTGGTAGTCTTACGAAGATTCAGCAAGATGAAGAAATAAAACGCTAAACCAAGTCATGTTGCTGCTTTTTTTTTTAAATTTAAATAAATTGAAGCAAAAGAAAGCATTTTAGAGAAAGGAAGGGAAAACAGTCTTAGCTCTTTGCCCTTCTACTCATGATGCCAGGAAAAGCCTAACATTTCACAGAAAGAGCTAAATAATCATAGAATATAGAATGGTTTGGATTTGAAGGGACCTTAAAGATCATCTCATTCTAACCCCCTGCCATGGGCAGGGACACCTTCCACCAGCCCAGGTTGCTCCAAGCCCTGTCCTATCTAGCCTTGGACACTTCCAGGGATGGGGCAGCCACAGCTTCTCTGGGAACCTGTGCCAGGGCCTCACCACCCTCACAGGGTGATTAACTTCTTCCATAATAATCGACAAGCGTATGACAAATCCAGAAGAGAATGTGAAAGGAGCCACTTGGATTTACCTCCATTCCCTCCCCTACATGCAATGGTTGGAAAGCAAGGAAGCATGCTGGTATTCCTGGATACAGCCAACTGGTTACAGCACAGAGCTAAGGGAGCAGGTTGAACACTTACCTGATAATCTAGATTTGCTACACAGGTGTTAAATGAAGACCAGAATCCCAGATAAGACATGGAAGAGGAAGGCAGTCTGTGAAATGACTTAAAAAGGGTCAGCAGGGTCAGAGAAATGAGCCGAGGAACGCTCTTAGCAGAGCAGGAATGAACAAAGGGAAAAAAGCAGTGGCAGGCCAGGCCAGAAGATAAGAAGTTGAGCCAACCAAGGAATCAGATAAGAGGAGTTATGGGAGATTTTTTTCAACCCTGTGGGTGGTGCGATTCAACACTGCGTTTGAGACATGACAAGGATTTAAAAGTGGCTTGAAATACATTGTTCCAATAAAAGGTCTTGTAAAAGCCAAAACCTGAGCTCCACATGCCGGTGCTGGGAGAAGGATGGCGCTGCCTGAGGAGAGCTGTGCAGGGCAGGCCTGGGAGGGAGGATCAAGAGCACCAAGCAAGACGTCTCCATGCTCACAAAAACGGCACCACGACCGAGAAGACGAGATAAAAGGGAGCTGCTTCTTTAATAGTTTCCTTTCTCCTCTCCCTCAAAGATGGTGGTTAAAGCAATGCTTGAGTTTGGGAGTGCTAAGGAGACTGAAAATAAAGGGAAGAGGTGGGATGGAAGAGGAAGATGAACAAAACAGCTTAGAAAGATGGCTGAGAGTTGGGAGCAAAATAATTCATTAAATAAGAGACCAGATTTTGAGGAGCAGTATGAGAAACAAGATGAAAAGAAAACTATGAGGGGGAAGAACTATAAAAAGCAAGAGATGTCCATATTAAGAGTAGGAAATGGCCAAGCACATCTACTCCAGACAGCATCCCAACAAGAGTGCTCAGTTGGGAAGCAGCACTCAAACCCCTGTGCTTCCCAAGGGTTTGCTAATCCATAGTTACTCCCTTTCCTGTACCATCAACGTTGCTCTTCCTGAGGTTCAGATTATGCCCTCAACAATAACCACGGACTAATCTGAAAGTGGTGACTTTGACAGGGATTACAATAATTCCGTGCAGGGGACATGAAATCAGCAATCCCTCTATGGAGCAGCAGGTACCTGTGCTGGGCCTTCCCTGCTCCAGGGGCAGTGGGATCACTCTGGTACTTTCCACAAGTCACAGATTCACAAAATAGAGCAAAAACGTGCAATAGACTCACAGTGTCCAAATATTTACTGGAGCAACTGGTTTTAACACCAAAGGCTGCCGCTATAAAGCTTGTCAGAAACAGGACAGATGAAGAGAATGAAAAAAAAATATTCACAAAGTAAACAGAAAGCTGCAAAGACTGTGACTTTGCTGCCAGACAAACAGAAGAGTTTGAGCACAGATCCTGAAGAGAGCAATTTTTATATTCTTGTCTCTAGAAGCAGATAGCCAAAAGACGCTTTTCCATTTTCTTTACACTGAAAGGAATTCGCTCCTGTGAATCAAACAACTGGTAGCACAGTCCTGCTTAATACAGAAGGACTTTAAACATTTGGGAAAAACAATGAAAGCAAAATATTTTATATGATTAAATCTAGAGACCTTTTTTGCTTGCTTGGAGTTTTTTTTAATAACACAAATATTTCCTTTCAACTTTCTAGGAAACCAACTCTTCATAGAAATTCCCAACATTTTCTTTCATTTTTAAAGTCGTTAAAACTGAAACGGGAAACCCATTTTGAAAATTTTTAAGAATCAGTTCCTCTTTATTCATGCAAAGATCTGGAATAAAAGCACTGAGCCCACCAGAAGCATTTCTATCCCTCCTCTGTGAGCTGAGCAAAGATTGTAAACAAGGCACAAGGAACAGGAACCACAGGTATTCTGTGTTAGCAAATCCCAGTGCAGGTACACCACAAAGTGAAACTGATTTTTAAATTCATACTTTGTGTTTTAAAAAAGTACTTATGTATCTTCTACATAATACAGTTTCCTTGATTAACAACATTGTTTCAGCAATCAGGAAGGAAATATTAATTTGAGGATAACGGGTCGAATTTGTTTTTAACAAGCATATAAATTCTGTACAGCAACAATCATAGATGTGACCTGAAAAACGTACAGCTTTGATCACTATTACCAATAAGCATGAGGGGGTTGTTTTGGGTTGGTTTTCTTTAAATAATATCCTTAATGGGGTGAGAAGAGTTTGCTGGTGTTATCACACACTGTAGCCCACATACCTGACCAACTTCAATTTAGTAGTTATTAAAACAGAAAACGTTTTTGGTTGTGTTTGATAACAAATAATTAGTTGCAAAATCAGTTTAGTGTTTACAAGATTACAAATGCCAAATATGAGTGAAATAGGAGAAGCTGTTGCATGCATTTCTTAGAAAAGCAAAATACTTTGCCTGCACAAACAATTCACCTAAAACTTCCATCCTCCCCTGAAAATGTCGTTTAGAATAATATTTCTTTCAATTTTTCATTCAGCTGAATTAGAAGTAACTGTATCTTTGTAACTTCCACCACAGTAATTAGTTCAAATGCTGCACAGTAAAACCCTGCATCCCTGACCAGAACACAACATTCAGCTGATTTTGGAACCAAAGCAGGGGGAGGGTGTTAAATGGCAAAGCCCAGGATGAACTTTTAATGGAATATTATTAATACGTTTTGCTCACCCAATTTTAAATCAGAACTAACAGTGGCTCCCTCTCTTATTACTAGTTTTATTTTTCAGCTCATGTTAGTCACATAACAACAACCAGACCCATTGGCTCGCCCTGTGCTGCCCAAAGGACAGATGACAGACAATGTTCCCTGTTCTGACATGCAGAACAGAATAAAATCCCAAAGGCCAGTGATAGTCCCACTGGGGATTTTCCTTGGCACACAAAGGTTAGTGATTCTGAGTAGGCAGATGAGGAAAAAAGGGCAAATTACCTTCTCCCCCCAAAAAGGAATAGTTTTCAATTCAACATGAGCAAATCTTTAAAAGACTGTAACTCAGTTTTTTAAATCTAAATTAAATAGGAATCACTGGGAACATTTTAAGTGCTAAACGAAACGTAGCCTA